GAACAAATGTAGTTGAGGACCCCTGGAATAAATAAAACAATTGACTAAATTTCCTAAATGGAATTTGAACTCGCAACCTCCATCCTGTCAGCACTTTCACTCAGGGCAGCTCTTCTAAAATACAGTTCAAGTATTATTTTATCATAATGGATCTAAAACCAAAAATAGCTTTGTTTACAATCCAAACTGGGTTGATTGTAGTTGTAGCCGTGCTCGGGGAACGCAAACCATCACTGACACTTGGGCCATGAAACTCCAAAGGCCCCCGATTGGGAGGCGCCAGGGCCCAAAGGAAAAAGGCCTAGGGCCTAAAGGGTTAAACTAATTAGTGTAAAGTCTGAGCTGAGTGGGTTATGCCTGGAGTCCTCAGGTGGCGTGTGACCCAAACGTGGAGCGACTAGCGCTGGGTTGGATAAACACGCACTCAGGCAGAACCGAGGTACTCAAAAGGGAATGAGCGTAACGCGGCTCCAGAGTAAGGAAAGGAGACCTGCTGGCAGGTCGACTGGGCGCACATGAAACAAGAGTGGCGGGCGGAAGCGGGCAGGACATCCGGTGTGGTGCATGCTGGGCAGTGGAGTTCAAAACAAAAGATGCATTTTATTAACTAGTAAAATAATACTGAGCGCCATAAGAAGCACTGGATGAAAAAACATACATTTATCTTTGGTTATTTTTGCAATAAATATTAAGTGAGGTCATGCTGAGAAAATCCAGAGTGATGGAGGACACACAGCAGTGGAAGAGATTTATAGGCCTTTATCTTGAGCTTGGTCTAAAACACAGTTTTTTGTTCATTCAGAGTGAATTGCAGTTGGATCAATTCAGTCATGATCAGTAAAAAAAAGACTTCCTAAAGTATAAACGTGTCAGGCGAGAGAGAGAAATGATATGTCCAGCTTGTGACGTTCGTGGTATTTTTTATAAAATATGAATTTTGTAATAATTGCCTCATACGTGATTAAACTTTCAGTTTCCAGCATGAAGAGAAATAACTGTAGTCGGAGCTTCTTTTCTCAGTAAAATTAGACGACATGAACCCTAAATGGAAACTGTGTCGTCTCACCCCCGGACTCGGGGCAAAGGGGCCCCCTCGGGAGACTGCCCCGGAGGCTGGGCACGTAGGAGAGCACCTGATGGCAGGGCTTTTCCCCATGGAGCCGGCACAGCCTGAAGAGGAGACGTGGGTCATCCTTCCCATAGGCTCACCACTCATGGGGGGAATAGCCATTCTATAATGTCAGATTCCTGTCGGTCACATGCTGGTTTCAGCAACAATTATGCAAATAAGCCGTTTTTCCACCGACATAATTATTTATTGTATACAATAATTCATGGATGAGGAACATGTGCAGATGACTGAGACCTTCAGTACCGCAGCTCCCCCGTTCTACCACCAGATGCTGTTCCTACTCATGGTCAGAGCTGCTCTTATATTTAGCAACACTTCCACAAGTACAGATTGGTAAACACCACACATGAGTTCCTGCTCGTGAAACCCACACAGATCTGTTTGTATGAGGGCCCAGGTGGTTTCTGTGGTCCTGTCGGCTTCACCAGACTGTGATTCAGTTCTCAGTTGAGTGGAAAGAGGCAATTAGCATGACCACGGCGTTCTGTTGTCAGAAGAGATCGGCTCAAATTTCCTTAAAAAATAATCATAGGCCTCTGGACATTTGAAAGTCGTTCATTTGTCATAAGTGAAGGGTCCAGGGCTATCTTTTAAATAGGAATAAATGTCTCCCGGCAGATTTGTGGAAAAACACCGGCGAATCGGACCGATGTTTCCTGTCATCCCAGAGCTCACTCTGGCTTTTAATACCTTTAAACCTTTGATGCATAACGGTCACTACAGTGGACTGGTACTTAAAATTGTTATTTATTTATTTTTGCTATTAAGCACAGCTGTTGAAGACTTTATTGCATTTGAACCTCCTCCATTTGTACTTCAGTAAGTCAAGCCAACATATTTCATGTTCAGATTGCACGCTGTCCCCTGAGGTGGACATGTAATCAATTATTTGTAAATTACATTTTACAAAAAATATGTAAATATGAAATTTGTTTCGTTCACACCTAAAGATGAATGAAAAAAATTGTTAAAAAAAATTATGGTTGAAGATTTCATAATTCATGCATCAAAGGGTTCATTTTCTCTTCAGTACAGATTTTCTACTTCTCTCTGAACCACCTCTTGTGTTCAGACGTTGAAGTTTTTATATATCAGGGATTTTGTTCGTAAACTCTCTTAAAAGTTTACGCCGCGTATTGATAGCAGCTTGTTTTTGCCACCCAGCCACTTGCGCATGCGCACAAAGATGAAAAAAGATGTCAACAAAGATCCTCCTGTACGCCTGTGACTGAAGGAGTACGAAGATACGTGGCAAACTTTGTCTTCTTGGAAACATTGGTTTAGAGGTGGAGAAGAATGAGGGACAGATTTGTCCATTTTGAGATCTTGGCTCACGACGGGAAGGGCTGTTGGTTTAGCGTCCGGAAAACACCAGAGAACATCTCTGCTAGTAGAAGCTAACTGTTAGCATTAGCAACTCCACCACAAGGAGATATAAGTAATAAGAAACAAGACTCCAAATCCTGCCGTGTTCTGCCACTCTTTCCTCCAGCTGAATTATCTGTCCTCAAACAGGCGCACCGGAGCTTTTTTTCCCCCTGAATATGACTTACAGGGCATTCCTTCCCACTACAAACCAAAGCAGCTTGCACCTCCCAAAAACAATGATCAGTAAAGAGCCCTGCAATGAGCATTGGAGATTAATATAAAAACGGATGAGCTTTTGTAAAATCCGTTGAAACATTGAATCTCACAAAAACTTTTATTTTCATTCCTACAAAGTCTCTTGAGATTCGTCGTAAAATAAGAACTGAAGGAGCAAAACTCGTTCTAGAGAATGAAATCTGAATAGAAATCATTCTAAATGAAAAACACTATCACAGGGGTGTCAAAGATGCGACCCGCGGGCCGAATCCGGCCCGCAAGCGGGTTAAGTCCGGCCCGTGAGATGGTTGTGTAAACTTTATTTTCATACTTTAAAATGTAGAGTGAAAATAAACGTATCTTTGTGAGCAAGTTTTCTCTGTAATGAGTATAAATAAAACAAAGCTGCGCTCAAGGCTCACACAAGAACTTGAATCACATCCTGAAGATGGCCGCCACTCAGGATGTGACTCCTGATGTTGATGTGCTGGTGAAGCTAAAAGATGTTAAGTAGAATGAGTCAAATATACTTTAAGTGCTGCATGAAACTGATGTAGCCATGTGATCTGTAAGCTCTTTGAATCACTAAGGAATGTTTTTTTTTATTGATTGATTTATTTTATTTTTTTCAAATTTTCAAGTACACTTCAGGTGTTGTACTTGTACTACACTGTCCTCAGGCTCCAGCCTTGTTTCATATTGATTGTATTAAAACATAGAAAACAATCTGAAGTTTTTTTTTTTTAATTTACCGGTCCGGCCCACTTGGGACCAGATTTCCCTCAATGTGGCCCCTGAGCTAAAATGAGTTTGACACCCCTGCTCTAACAGATACAAAAATAATGTACATATGAGACATTTTTCAAGGGTTTCATCTAAAAGCTGCAGCAGAAGGTTTGAGGCTCCAGAAAGCAGCGTTTCACAGTCGATGCAACGCATTCGTCATAAATGTAAGCTGGAGTAAAAAGTGACCCCAGGTTGGATCTGAAGCATTCATTGCAAGCTCTCTCAACGATCCTTGCGTCGTGTAACGTGACGGCACTGTCTTGAGGGGTTGTAGCTCGACTCAACAAGAATTTAGCTAAGTCATGAGTTGCTTAAAGGCGCAGGATGTCCCGCCAAAGGCCGCCGCAGCGCTGCACCACAAATCCCCCTCAGCTCGCTCCAAAGATTTCAAGTCTTTGTGTAGAAGAAGTGATTGCTGGGTACTTTATCAGTATCGCCTCTGTTTTAGACAAATTAAACGATTTCCTTGTTGAATGCAAACCCTTTCCTTCTTCTCTTGCTTTTACTAACTGAACTCCAGCACAGGAAGTCCTTACAGCTCAGGGAGGAGGCAGGACTGTGGATCAGACTCAGAAACGTTCGGCTTACAGAGGGGATTGTTTTATAAACGTGTTCCTGTTATGATTAGCCTCCTTTGTGTGTTGAGCGTAATGCACATTCCTGCTCGGCCTTTTTGTGGGACAGGACACAGCTGACAGAAAGGGGCGTGGCCTAAAGCAGGGAGGAAATGTAAGTGTGGGCAGGAACACGTGACCGTTTCCCCAAACACACACACACACACACACACACACACACACACACACACACACACACACACACACACAAACACACACACACACACACACACACACACACACACACACACTCAGTGACTGAGCTGGGTGGATTTTCTGGTTGGAAAGTCGTGGCAGGATGCAGTAGGAACTTTTGGTTCCTGATGAGTTTAGTGATGTTTCCTTTGTAGCTACGTTTGGTCTCTGGCAGCTCACGATTGTGTCTGGTTTGTGGTTTGGGGAGAGTCTTGGAGGACGTTTTAATGGATACGTGGCTTAACCTGGTTGTTCCTATTGTTGCTGGTGGAGCAGTCTGTTTATGTAGGAGCTGACGTTTCACGCTTTTCTGCTGCGCCGCTTGACTGACGAGGACAGCGTGACAACCAAGTTAACACATTAACTATCCCTGGACTCTTCAAACAACGTAGATGCATGGCAGGCACTCTTGTGTCTCTGGGGTTTTCAACCACGTAGAGAAGGAATGTTGCGAGTTACAACAAGATAAACCCACCGATAGGAGCTCAACATGAGATCCAGTAAGAAGTGGTTAGTCGTACGCTCTAAATTTTACAAGTAAGTCCAATTTCAGTTATTCTGAATTACTGTTTTGCATCGTTTTCTAAATGCGTCCATTCATTCTCTGTGGTGCGTGTCAGGACGTTTAGTATAAAACTTAGTCGAGCTTTACGTGACTCATTAGTTATTTCTGCTTCTTTTTCCTGCAGTGTGGAAGGGGAAGCCCAGTGTCCAGAGCCAGGCGCCCACAAAGACGGCTCATTCAGTCAGACGCCTTACCTTCACGGCTCAGAGCGTTTCAGTGACAGCAGCAGCGCGGCCCCCTCCACCTCCAGGGGCCCGTCGAGCGTGGTGGTCTCCAGCCCGGCCAGCCTGGCCTGGGTGCTGCGAACGCGCCACCAACCAGCGAGCTTAGCCCTTCGGAAGCAAGAAGAGGAGGAGAACAAGAGGTGCAAGGGCCTGTCTGACAGCTATGAACTCTCCACAGACCTGCAGGATAAAAAGGTAACAGAAGGACGTCACAGGATTAGAGTAGCGGTTTGTTGTCCTCTTTGCTGTTTAGAGGTAAAGCAAACCTGGTGATGAGTAAAGAGGCGTGCACTAACAAGCCAATTTGCTGGGTGTGTGTTTCCTCAACTTTGCTAGGTGGAGATGTTGGAGAGGAAGTACGGAGGCTCCTTTGTAAGTCGTCGGGCAGCAAAGACCATTCAGACCGCCTTCAGACAGTACCGCATGAATAAAAACTTTGAGCGTCTCCGGAGCTCGGCCTCAGAGAGTCGTATGACGCGTCGCATCATCCTTTCCAATATGAGGCTGCAGTATTCTTTTGATGAGCGGCAGCCCCAGCAGCAGGCCCAGACACAAACCAACTTCACCCACAGTGTTGCTATAGGTCCTCCTCATTCCCCTGATCCAGACCGCCCAGCAGACTACACCCACCTGGAGGACTCCTTCTCCAAACAGGTACAACTGACGCTGGTTTAAAAAGCTACACTTCCCAAATGCCATCGCAGAACCCCTAAAACCCTGTCGCTCACACTGAATGTGATCTTCAGATACGTAAATACATGTCTGATGCTCTGTCTGCAGGTCAAGTCCCTCGCCGACTCCATCGACGATGCCCTCACCTGCCGCGCCGGTCGCGATGACTCCCAGGAGGGCAGCAGGGAGGGTGGAGGGATCAGCGAAGACTTTGGGGAGTGCATGTGGAGCAGCAGCAGCAACCCGTCCTCCTCCCAAAGAGGTTTGGGAGAAAGAGGTCGGGGAGTCGGAGGAGGGCTGAGTATGCACGGTGACAGTACAGCCACCTCTTACAGTGACGTCACCCTTTACATGGATGATGGGATGCCCTCCTCTCCGCTGTCCCTTGACCGGGCCCCCAGCAGCACAGATACTGAGTACTGGGGGCCCGGTGGTGGTGTTGGAGGGCGCGAGGACAGCAGGGACACAGAGGGAGGAGGTAGCAGTAACAGTCGGCGCAGCACGCCATGCACAGAGTGCAGAGACTACCGTCTGAGGGGAGCTCACCTGCCCCTTCTCACTATCGAGCCACCTAGTGACAGCTCAGTGGACATGAGTGATCGTTCAGATCGGGGTTCCCTGAGCAGGCAGTTGGTCTATGAGCAGGAACCTGGAGTAAGCTCAAGCTCGCCTCAGGGAACCCTCAAACACTCCCCCAACTCAGGCACCCACTCCCCCTCCACAGCCGCTGCTCAGGGTCAGACCAGGCCAACGGGAAGACCCATACCTACACACATCCCGCACCAGGTGGCAGCCCACCACCACCATCACCACCACCCCATCCACCACCACCAGTACCCTGACACGCCTTCATCCTCCTCCTCCCCACAGCAGCCTCCCACTACCCCCCTGTCCTCCTCCTCCTCCACCGCTCTGCCTCCAGGAGGTCTGGAGCAGCCGTGCTGCTCTGACGGAGACAACGACTCGCTCAACTCCACAACCAACTCCAACGAGACAGTCAACTGCAGCTCGGGCTCTTCATCTCAGGACAGCCTGCAGGAACCGCTGCCTCCTCTGGGGAAACAGACGTACCAGAGGGAGAGCCGCCACAGCTGGGACTCTCCACCCTTCAACAGCGATGTGGTGCAGAGACGCCAGTACCGCATCGGTCTCAACCTCTTCAACAAGTGAGCTGTAGTCCTATCATTGCCGGGGACATGTCCCCAGTAATATTTATAGTTGACACGTAATGTCCCCACCACTTTTAGAAACCTGAAGCCGATTTTCTTGCCAGATCTAGTTTTGCTCCCAGCACAAATTCACTATTCACAACTACTCACAACTCTTCTCACACAGTCACGGTTTCTTTGGCTCACTGCCAACTTTAAAACTGCTGCCAGTTTTTATTTAACACACAATCATTCTACTGTGAACAGAAAACTAGAAAGAGGGTTGCATGCTGGGAAATCTGTTCAATCCGGTGTCATCACTGTGTACCGAATCGCAACACCAGTCCGTTGGCTAAACTGTTCGCTGTGAACAGATTTCAGCAACAATGGTTAGCAAGAGAAAAGTGGCCCGCAGCTCACAAATCATTCCTTTGCTCAGAGAGGTCAGCGCTCCGTTTGTAAAGGGGGGGATGGACACGTTTCAGATGGTTTTTCTGCTGAAAAGGGGCCCTGATTAGCAGGATCTTGAATGGATTAATGTTGGATTAACAAGCTGGCAGTCTGCAGTGTTGGGAGTAACGCAGTACAAAAGTAATTAATTACTGTAATGCATTGCTTTTTGCTGTAATGTGGTAATGTAAGGCATTACAGGGAAAGAAAATGGTAATATTTACTCTGTACAATTGTCAGTAACGCGGTAATTACAATGCATTTTTAAACCCAGAATCAAGATGTGTTCCTTAAAAATTCAAATTGCGGGAAACCCGAAGAAAGATCCAGTATCTGCATATATGACGTCATTTATGGACTCAGCTTTGCGGGCAGAGAGGACGCCGCGGTAACGGCTCAGCTGCGTCCTGCACGCGGCCGCTGTAACATTCACAAAATCGCTCCACTAAAACCAAATAATTCACCTGCGATCGTTCATATCGGCGCATATTCTCTGGTATTTTGTGCTTTCCTGACGTGCTTTGCCTCAGCTGAGTTAATAATCTGTGCCCCGGTGATTTCAACTCATTACTGCTGGAGCGCCGCGCATGTGAAGATCCCTTTGGCTGATCGTTAGAAAGTAGGAAGTCTAGGAAACAGTTTTTCTGGAAGACGGAGAAAACATGCAGCATGCAGGAAGAATAGAGAGAGAAAGGGCCGGAAATTATTCACATAAAATCAAGAAAAAAAGAAAAAAGTAGGTAGATTTATCCCCAATACACATGTTTACCAGTGAAAAGCAATAATATATAAACATTTAATATTTATACATGTGATAGAATCAGATCTCCCCAGAAGTCAGTCCCACATCCAGGGCCGTATCAAGGCATTTGGGGACCAAGGCAAATATAGGCTTGGAGCCCCCACCACCTCACTCCCTGCTCAGTTAATATAAGATGGCAGCGTGCTGAGAGTACAGATTGTTGTTGCTTTTATTTAATAAACAATCATTTTAAAGCACTGTTATTATATCTGACTGTTTTTAACAGCAACCCTAGCTCAGACACCACATCACCTTCCACATATATGTCATGAGCTCACTGAGCGTCACATGACCAGATTCATGCTGAAGTTGTATTGGTGAAAGTAACTTCAAGTAATGCTAAAGTAGTGTAATGCCTTACATTTTAAAATCAGTAATATTGTAATGTAATGAATTACTTTAAAATGAGGGTAACAAGTAATAAATAATGCATTACAGTTTTGAAGTAACTTGCCCAACACTGGCAGTCTGTCTGCAGACGTGCTCAAAATAATGTCAGCTTAAAAGCAACATTGACTACTTGAATTGTTTGAAAATATTATATAAATGTCAACACCTGTCTGTAAGCAAACGGATGACTACTTATTTATAGGAATGTCCCGTTCCGATTTCGATATCGGAGGTAATTCAATGTCAGCCCAAACGCACTGTATCGGATTATTTTGGACCGCATCAAAAATCTCCGATATAAGCAATCCGTTCTCATTCACCGCCAATGACGACTAAAGTTGTCATTCGCATGTTTTTACTGTTTGGGCGTCGGACGAGCCCCCGCACCGTGAGAACAAACATCTCCGCTCTAAAGCCGATCTTCATCCGCGTACGTCACACATCATGTGATCAGGAAGCAGAACATCCATGTGTTAGGAGATCGTTTTGGGCCGCTGCTGTAAAAAAAAGTGAGGCGCGAACCGGAAAAGCTTCTGCCGATCACAATTCAACAACGGATCATGAAAGAACGGATAACGCTCGAAACGCGCGGATTCTTCCTGATGTAAGAGGTGAGTCTCCTCCTTGTTTTGGTAGTTTTGGTGTCGACATCATCCTAGCGCGCAACGTTCTGTCACTCTTAAAACAACAGTAAAAACGGTGAAACGCTGGCAGCGAACGAGTTAAGGCTCACATTTTTGCAACCAACGGTCAAAAGAAATTGTCTTTTTTTTTCAATGGTGCTTGTTCTCCGACTGAGTAATATCACGTGATCAAGTCTTTCATACATTCCACACTACGAAATAGATAAAAGTCTGTATGATTTGTGCTGATATCGTATCGGATTGATATCAGTATCGGTCAATGCTGAAGGCTGCAATATCGGTATCATATCAGAAGTGAAAAAGTTGTATCAGGACATCCCTACTTATCTATAAATAATTAATGTCCCCGACATCCACAAACCATTGGATATTGTCCCCGGCACGTTGAAAGACTAACCAATGTCCTTGAGTACTACAAACCCAAGCATGAACGTCTCAGATGTTTATACAGGCCCAATGATGAAGCTCACGTTATTTTTTTATGTAAACTGCAGAAAACCAGAGAAAGGCATCCAGTACCTGATAGAAAGAGGGTTTGTATCAGACACTCCTGTCGGGATTGCTCGCTTCCTCCTGGAGAGAAAAGGCCTCAGCAGGCAGATGATTGGAGAGTTTCTGGGAAACCGACAGAAACAATTCAACAAAGATGTTTTAGAGTGAGTAAATGAACCGGAAACTGAAATGACATAAATTCATTGCATACTTTTTGTTCCTGAGTCTGATTAGAAGCTAGATTAATCATTTTGCTCCATAAGCAGACGTACTGTAACCATGCTTCTGAGTTAGTGGTTTATTTTCCAAATGTGTTCAGCTGTGACTTGTGTGTTTTCCAGTTGTGTTGTGGATGAGATGGACTTCTCAGGCATGGACCTTGACGACGCTCTGAGGAAATTTCAGGCCCAAATCAAAGTTCAGGGAGAGGCCCAGAAAGTGGAGCGGCTCATCGAGGCGTTCAGGTTTGTAGATGAAAATCTGAAAATCTGTGAGTCCGGATTAAACCTATTAATATGCTGGTTGTCTCTTTAGTCAAAGGTATTGTGTGTGTAATCCCACCCTGGTTCGGCAGTTCCAGAACCCGGACACCATCTTCATCTTGGCCTTTGCCATAATCCTCCTCAACACAGATATGTACAGTCCCAACATCAAAGCCGAGAGGAAGATGAAGCTGGATGATTTCATCAAGAACTTGAGAGGTGCTGTTGGACACAAACGTCCCTTTTTAGGAAATATTTACTCTGCCGTTACTTTTACTTCAACTTCAAATGTCCTTGGTTCCATCCAAGGTGTAGACAATGGTCAGGAGATACCCAGAGACCTGTTGGTTGGGATCTACCAGCGAATACAGAAATGGGAGTTGCGCACCAATGATGACCACGTCTCTCAAGTGCAGGCAGTGGAGAGGGTCATTGTAGGCAAGAAGCCTGTAAGGTTCATAGTGAACTTTAATGTGTTATTTAAACAAAAAACTGTATATTTATGGTGTATCTCTGTGTTTGACCTTTGACCTTCTAGGTGCTGTCTCTTCCCCATCGAAGGCTGGTGTGTTGCTGCCAGCTCTACGAGGTTCCCGACCCCAACAGACCTCAGCGGACCGGAGTACACCAACGAGAGGTCTTTCTCTTCAATGACCTGCTGGTGGTAAGGCTGACCCATGGGCTTTGGTTCAAATGCAGTCAGTGGAGTCCCTGTAAAAACCTTCGTTTCACGCTGTGCACTAGGTCACCAAAATCTTCCAGAAGAAGAAAACCTCTGTGACTTATAGTTTCAGACAATCGTTCCCTTTGGTTGACATGCAGGTCCACATGTTCCAGAACTCATGTAAGAAAGTTGTTTTTATTGTCATTGCATCTCTCAGTTGTTCTTCATGACCTTATTTGATGCTACAGAATATTTATTTCTCCTTGTTCTCTGCCTAGACTACCCTCATGGCATTCGCCTGACCTCAGCCAGCCTGGGCGGAGAGAGGAAGGTTCTTATCGTCTTTATGGCGCCCAGTCAGCAAGACCGCACCCGCTTTGTTAGCGACCTCAGGGAGAGTATTGCTGAAGTGCAAGAGATGGAGAAATACAGAGTTGAATGTAAGTGTGCCCTCTGCAGTTCATGAACAGGAATTATATTTATGACCACATACAGTTACGGCCCTTGGCGTTAGAAAAGGAAACCTTCTCAAGGGTTGCTTTCCAGCTTGTTCTGTTCTGTTACGTCTCCCCGTCACTTGAAATTCCCCCGTGTCCTCTTGTGTGAAAATACAGCGGAGTTGGAGAAGCAGAAAGGTGTGATGCGGCCCAGCTTGCTAGCAGGAAGTGTGGTTGGAGGAGGTGTAGGTGTGAAGAGCGATGTTGTGAACGGCACCTTGGGAAGGACGAGTTTTGATGACAACTGCTCCGTGGGTGAGGGTCTCAAACGCACAGCGCTCAGCTCATCTCTCAGGGACCTGTCGGACACAGGTAAGGGCCCCGTGCCATTTCATTACTGTGGGCTGGTGTGACTCTGGGTATCTTGTGCCGTGTTTCTGTTGCTATACCTTGTTTCTCTTTCCTGCTGCCGTTTAGTCACAGCTTGTAGGGCCTCTCTCTTGTATCTTTCACATTTTGCTAACCTGATTCTTCCTGGCGGGGTGCAGGGAAGCGTGGTCGCAGGAACAGTGTCGGTTCCCTGGACAGTACTATGGAAGTAAGTCTATAAAAGACTTCCAACAGCATACTTGCATTTCCCCTCGCTGGTGTCCCATTATCCTGAGCATGCTCCGTGTGCCAACGATCTCGATGTCCACTATCTATACTTGCGTGGGTTTGTGTCTTGCTCTGACACTCTCTGCATGTTCGTGTGTTTTACCCCCGCATGCGTTGGGTGATGATGGTAGTAGAACCATGTGGTTCTGTTCTTTCATGGTTTTTGTAAGACCTGATGAGATTTTATGTTCCTAGGGCTCCATCATTAGCAGCCCTCAGCCTCACCAGCGCTACCCAATGCCAGGCGTTCTCCCTGGCTGCTATGGAACAGAAGATTTCCGGCCTCAACGCCCCATCCTGAGCCCCGGGACGGGGGTGGGGGGTGGGCCGGGGCAGCAACATACCACTGCTGGGACAGGAGTTGGGGGAGTCGCCAGCAGTGCCGAGAGAGCAGGAGCGGGGAGCGGACCTGGGGGGAGCAACAGCAGCAACAACAGCGTCTCCTTCCTGGGCTCGCTATTCGGCAGCAAACGCGCCAAACCACCAGGGCCCCTTATACCACCGGGGCCACCCTACCCCGCACCTGTACCCCCACCGACTACGGGAGGACCCCCTCCTCACTCCCCTTCATCTCTATGCCAGCTGGATGGGGGGGCTTCCAAGATCCAGGCACTACACGCACAGTACTGTCACGTGGGCACCGTACAGCCCCCACCACCTTACTACCATCACCATCGCTTCCACGTCCAAGCCGTCCCTCCACCTTTACAAGGCCTGCCCCCTCATACTTCACAGAGAGGCCCACTACCCTGTCGTCTGCCGCTCGGTCCACTTCACGCCCAGCACCCGCAGCTGGCCCATCTCTCCCAGCTTTCCCAGCATGGCCTCCAGGGTCGATACACCAACATGGTGGTAGGATGTCCCCCACCCCTTTCTCCTCTCTCCCAACATTCCCAGAGCCCACAGTTTGCCCTCTACCACGGGCAGCTTACACACTCTGCCAGAGGGGGCAGCGGCCCTGGTACAAAACTCCCACTTACCCTGTCTCTGTCCCACCCCCACGCACACTCCCAAACCCACCCCAGGCATGCCCAAACACCACACCCAACCAGCCATTCTACTCATCAAACACACTTTATATTCGGCACACTGCCCCACAACCTGCCGTCGGCCTCCGTCAATGCACATCACGCAGCGCCCGCCGCCCCGTATCTGCCCCAGTACCCTCCTCTCTCCTCTATCCCCCCTCCCCCACCACACTCCCCTTTACCCCCCCCTTCGTCCCCCCTTACCCCTCTTACACCTCTCTCCCCTCACCCCCCCCAGCACCCCGCGCAGCCTCAGCAGGGGCCGCCGGTGACGGGTGGAGTCGGAGCGACAGGTACAGGGGGCAGCTCCAAGTCCAAGCCTATCAACCGGATAAGTACCGTGGTGTGAGCCGGACATGGAGCTCCAGAGTTCAGAGGGCAGACGACAGATGTGAGGAGGTGGGCAGATATCGGGCCAGAAGCAAGTCCGCCAGGACTGAAAGTAACAGCAGCAGCGCTGGTGACAAGAGGAAACGCAGGCTGCTCCGCCTTTGTTACTTTCACCTCCGCTTCCCACATATGTAGGTGGAGGCGGCGAGCACGGCTAGAGGCAAACGGCGTGGGCAATCAATTCCCCTCCGGGATTAATAAAGTATTTTTGAATTGAATGTGCATTCTCAGTACAGAAACACACACACTACATCTCATGAACACACACTACCTTTTACCACACACAATCAAAAGAGTCTATAGCCATATGATTTAAATGAAAACTAAATATTTGAGTATATTGCCTCAGTTTGAACTGTTTAAACTAGATGTGTGTGTGTATAAAGCTATTTACATGTGCAGATCATGCTGATGGAGAGCTTATGTGTCTACAGGTTTATGGAGGGTTTGTAGAATGACACCAACCAGCCAACAGAAGAAAGTTGCAAAGGTTTTTAAAAACGTCCCTTGAATTTGCAATAATCCCACTTGGCTTTGTGACGTCTCTGGCCATGGCAAACTTCTTTTTTAAAGGAAATCTCAGTGATCTCGCTCTCGCTAGAACCAGTGCACGTTTTCTGACAATCTGCTGCCCAAATGGCCTCTCGCACACGCAAAGGAGTCACCTAGCTTTTTGCGGCTGTGCTCTCTGTGTGGCCAGTGGAAACCGACGATACAAACAACACATTTTGAATGTTTCTGAAGCCTTTTGCTGTTTTTATTGATATTATAAAATACCCGCTATACCTGAGTATTATTAATATTGTCCAATACTTGTTTTGATCAGTGATTAATGATATCAGCAGATGTTTGTATGTTGGTCATAGGAAGTATTTGCACATGATGATTCTCTGTCTGCCATGCACACTGAAGGGTGTGTGGAGTGTGCCATAGTTTTTCTTTTGCTTCTTAATGATTAGTATTCAGGAGTAATAAAAACAACCATTTTTATTTTTGATCAGACGCTAATGTGCTTCTATGGTTTTTAGATCAGACACAACACAGCCAACAAAACTTGAAATGAGAGATTTTTAGAATCTGAGTCTCCTGGCTCTGAAAAGACCAACAGTCAGATTTAATAGTTGCGGCTCTTTTCTGCGTTTTTGCCGAGGCACGGTTTCACGTGAGGTTTTGTGGTTTTGCACATGTGATGTCTTAATTCAGAAATGGCCTTCTCTTAACCCTCCCCGTCCTTGAAGAAATATCTCCTCACATTTCACGATGCCTCAGCATCTTGCTGAGTGCTTCTTTTTTTATTAGAAAATATTACAAGAACCGAGAATGTAAAATAGCCTTCGGATGCGTACCGTATTTCATGTTTGTGTAAGTGTTAACCCTTTTTTGCTACTGCAGTTTTAAAAGTTCAAACTAAACACCGATGTAGTGGACGACCAGGAGAAAACCTCAAACATCTGGATCCAGGAGAGAACAGAGAGAAGAGACTAAATGAAGACTGAATTAGCTGCTGAGCAAAAAGGCCAAAATGACCGCAAATTTGGGATTTAATGAAAGAGATTTCACAAAGGCATGGAGAGAGTTGAGAGTGATCATTGTTAACGTTATCCTTGGCTATTCTTTTCTTTTCTCGTGTTCTTTTAACTCTTCTTGCATGAATATATCTGCTCTTATTAAATAAATTGTACTGTATAAACATGAATGTACATATTAAATTATACATAAGCTTCTTCTAATCATGGGAAGAACCACTCCCATCCTGTATTCAGGTGCGTGCATGTGAGTGCCACTATATGCACAGACCAACATGGACAGGGACAAAAGGAACGTCCACCTCTTTTCTTTCTTTTCTTATCGTTTCATACTGATGTGTGAGAGCGGCTACAGCGATGTAAAAGCATATGTATCAGTGCACTTATTGATATTATTTTCATCATGATTTCAGATTTTCTGTGTATTATGTGTACCGAAAGAATAGAGAAATGAGATGTGAATATTTATTGCTTCTGATAAATTAAAGTGTCCTTGCAGTGGTGATGTGTGTGTTTGTGTGTGTGTGTGTGTGTGTGTGTGAGTGTGTGTACTTTGTGTCAGGAAAACGGGTTCATTCATGTCACGTTTGCCTAATAAAAACATTTAGGATCATACCGAGTTTTTACATTTACGAAGCGGTAATTAATAATTATCTGACACTAAATTGATGCTGATTTACACAATAAATAAATGAAATTCTTACTTTTTACACTTAATTATTACATTTACACTGTAAAATCTTCAGTGTGACACCAAATTGTGTTCTTTTTACTTTTTCACACACACACACACACATACTCGTTTTACTCTGGCACAAAGCACAAAGATCTGACTGCAGATATTTATGTGGAAAAAAAACAAGTCAGTCAAACCAACAACGACCCTCTCCAAACTGAAACCTCATGTCAGATTTAAAAATATACGATTTTAGCCTTGTCAGAATTATTTATATTGTTTAATTATTACTATAACATACCTTTTTATTTGATATAGCACAATTAAACACAGCATGCAAGCTGACCAAAGTGCTGCACAGGATCACCTAAAATAGTCAATAAATAGCGATTAAAATCAACCTAAAAACTAATTAAAAGTGGAAATAGAGCATTCAAATAGAGTCACTGTCCAAAAGCCAAATCATAGAAATAGGTCGTCAGTCGTGACTTGAAGACAGCAACGGATAATGACTGACGAACTGAGATGGTCCAGAGGACGGGGGCAGCAAACACGAAGGCCGAGTAGCCCCTTATTTCACGGCTGGAGTGCAGAGTAGCAAGCAGTCCGCTGATTTCAGTGAGCAGATTTTGCATCAGCAGCTCAGACAGACGGGGTGATGCAAGACCATTCAGTGCTTTAAAAACAGAGAAGGATCTTGAGTCGCACCCTGAATGTCACTGGCAACCAGTGCAGGTGCGCCAGAACTGGGGTGATATGGCTCTGTCTGTCACTGGCAACCAGTGCAGGTGCGCCAGGACTGGGGTGATATGGCTCTGTCTGTCGGTGCCTGTTAAGAACCTTGCAGCAGCGTTTTGTACTAGCTGCAGCCTGTTCAGGGCCTTAACCGGAGAAGTCACATAGTCCAGCCAGACGGTGACAAATGCGTAAATAAACAATTCTAAATGGGTCCTCTTCAGAATGGGCTTCAGTCGTGTAAGACAGCATAATCAAAAAAGCAGGATTTCACCACTGCATTTATCTGAGGGACCATTGAAAATGCAGTTTCACCCCAAGGCAGGTGACACACTGTTTAGGGTCAGGACCTGGTAGGTTTGGTACTGACGAGGCGCTGGATAGGTTCCTAGGGTCGAAAATAATCCACTCCGTCTTTTGCTCGTTGAGTTTTAGACAGTTTGCAGCCAACCACCCCCTCACATCAGCAAAGCAATCCATCATTTGTACATTTGTGTTTGGCCTAGAGGTGGAAAGAGTACTAACATTTCCTACTGAAGTACAAGTACCAATACTTTGGTATTTTTTTACTCCAGTACAAGTAAAAGTAATTGCCTAAATTTTTCCTGAAGTAAACATAAAAAGTATTGTAAATAAAATGTACTCAAAGTAAAAGTTACTTAGTTACATTTTTGTCAGCGTAGGGATGGCTACATCTAAGTAGTGCAAAATCACGCCAGTTCACAATTTGCTCGTGTGTGCGCACACACACACACACACACACACACACACACACACACGTTTGATGGAGGGATTTCTATCCAATCAGTGAGTACAGGACGTACATGTTGATTGGACAAGGTTGTTCTAGGATTGTATGTTTCAATTGTGATTAAAATTATTCTTTATTTTAAGACAAAAATAATTATTTTTCTTAGATGCCTTCAGCATGTGAGGTATCTCAATGTTTTCATGACAAAACTCTAACATGAGACTGTGCTCTAACCTGTCACATTTAGTGCGCAAATATGTGCCTAATAATTAGTCAAGACGTCTTACCTTCGATTCCCAAACTGCCATATCAAAACGCTTTTGGGACTCTTGTTCAGTGGCGGCGCCAGGGGGGCGCTATAGCTACCCCTGGATTGCACCCCCATAGCACCTCCAAGTAAACAGACCCTTTTACTACCTACGTCATCAAAAGTTGCGCGCGCAGCCTGGCAACGAGCATGAAGGCTTCCTCAATCACACTCGATACTAAAACAGCGTTTTAAACCCTTTGTTTTGAAGTTCTGAGCACATAAAAATGTCGGGTTGTTGCGTGTACGGATGCCAGAATCGCTTCTCTTCAAGCAGTGGACTGAAACTTTACAGAATTCCGAAGGGAGCACATCCATTTCAACTAAATCGGAGGCGTCTGTGGCTGCAGGCCATCAAAAGGGTTGATGAAAACTGGACGGAAAACACGATCCGAAATGCTCGAGTTTGTAGCGCCCATTTTATATCAGGTAAGGCAGGGGTGTCAAACTCAAACTCACACGGGGCCGAAATGAAACTCTGGGACGGAGTCGAGGGCCAAACTTAATATTTGTTGAAAAATTGACGGCAAATTTGCAAATTTTCTTTATCAACATATATGCAATTTTGAACCTTTAAATTTGGAAACAAACATATTTCTGCATTAACACTGAATGTGGAATAACCAAATTACACACGAGCAAGTCAGTTTTAAATAAAACACATCAGTGGTATTCATTACTTGTGGTATAATCAGCATTTTTAAAATCTATTCAGGATTTATGTTTTCTTGTTTATTCATTTTTCTTATGTTTTATTCTCCTTTTTTCTCCTGTAATACGTGTCATCGCTGCTGTGACGTATAGCTTTCCCCACTGAGGAACAATAAAGGGATTTTCTATTCTATTCATCTATCTGCAGCCTTTCCACTTCCTGTTTACTGTAGGTTAAATCTTTTCTCACGGGCCAACAACAAAATAAAAATATCATTTTCTCTTAAATGAAAATGCAACATTTCACCTGTTAACTTTCATGTTTTGGAGCAGAAAAAGAGCATAAAACCAACATATTTAAAGCTCAGTTTGCTCCACTGGTTTACTGTGATGCTCACCTGTTCCAGCCAGATACCTGCATCATGGGGTTGATCTGAGCTGAGGAGGAGACTCCTGTTGTTTTGTTCATCTTCATCATAATAATGACAACATTAGATGACAACAGGTGCTCACAAAGGTTTGTGCTGATGAACATGTCTGAGCAGCTTGACCACGTTGTTGTGTGTCGGGGAGGAAACACAACCACAGAGTCATGCTGGTTTGAGCGTGTCGCTGCTCGCTGGAGTTATATCAGCTCTGTCTGGACGTTAGTTGGAAAACTTTCTCTTTCAGTCGTGAACACGTTACTGAGCGGCTAGAATCTCCGTTTCTGGGCTTCAACGTCAGAAAACAGCTGAGTGAACTCGGCGCTGAGTGAGAGGAGTGTAGTTTGTCCGAGACAGCGGAGCTGCAGACACCCAGCAGCAGGCGCTGGAAAAAACACAAAGGAGGGGGCATGTCGCCTCCGCGCTGACGCCGCAAAGCATCATGGGAGTTGAAGTCTTTGCGGTAAAATCGGCCAACGGGCCAGTTTTAATATATTTTTGATATTTATCTTGCGGGCCACATAAAAATGCTCCGCGGGCCGCATCTGGCCCGCGGGCCTTGACTCTGGTAATTATGTACTAAGATTACACCAGAAAGCTGGTTAACGTGTGTTCTATTAAATAAAGTAAGTTGCGTTTGCTGGTTTGCTTTTAAGCAGTCTATTTATTTACAGGCGAGGTGTCATTGGACTCCTCGAGTCCTGATTTTGTGCCTTCTGTGTTTACGTACACAAAGCAAAGTCCAAACCCCCATGCAAAGATGGACAGGTAATGTTGGACTGCATATTAGTTTAAACTGTGTTTCTCTAAAATTAACACGATTGTACTCTGAGCATGCTAAAAATAAAGAAACCTATGCTATACTCACCCTGCCATGCAGGTACAGTTGGCTGTGAAGACGTAGTTCTCTGGTTTGTTTACTATGACCCAAGCCTCGTACGTAGCAGTCTTGTGTCCTTGTCTTTGGCTAGGAAGGACTTCTGCCTTCAAGACGCAAAACTCAGAGTCTATGTCGTGATATTTTACTTCCTGTACGTGGCCACAGACAACATAGTTGTATGCATCTAACCATTTGTACGCCCATAGCTTCTCACGTGTGTACTTACTGGGCCTCTCCACTAAAAACGTATATGTATCGGGCCACCGGATATCTGGCCACGCACCTACATCTTCCACCCATTCCGTAATGCCACAGGGATCCGGGAGTCTGTTGCCATTCGTTAAAGTGAGTTTAATAATATAACATTCAAGATTTGCCGGCGATAACCCCGCAGCGTAGCTTGATACAGCCTGACACAACGCCATTCTCTGTTGCCAAGCTGCGTGCGCATTCTCGCTGAGATAACACCATCCAAACCTGGCCTACCCTAACCCTACCTACTACATCACTAAAGTCAATCGGTTGCAAGTTTTTAGGAACCATGACTCGATCTGGACTGGGGCAACCTACATAAACCCTAAATAAATGCATGAGAGGAATTATTAAGAACGAAGCTCATTTTTCTCTGAACACAAGTTATGGAAGTGCTTGTCCATCGTTTGTGTCAGGCCCTGTCCACACGTAGCCGGGGATCTGCCAAAACGTAGATATGTTTCTACGTTTCGGCCTGTCATCCACACGAAAACGGAGTTTTTTCACACGAAAACGGATCTTTTTAAAAACTCCGGCCAAAGTGAAGATCTGCGTTTTCTCCGTTTTGGGTGTCTGCGTGTGGACGGACAAAACCGGAGTTTTAAGGTCCGCAACGTCACTTTCTGCGACAAAAAAATGCTGACATCACGTGTGCGACCTGTGTTTACACTAGCCGACAGCATGGATGCCCTCAGAGCTGCGCTCGCTTTATCAATTGTCCAAGCGCTTTTTGCTTGTTTGTGTTTGCAAGAGGAATTACTGCTCCTTGCGGAAGACCACAGACGAAGGACGAGGTTAAGAACGGGGGAAGTACTGCCGCCTACAGGTCTGGCATGTCCTTAACAACGTATTTATCCGGGTACGTGTGGACAGTTTTTTTTAACGAGGTGGTGTGGATGCAAGTTTTTGGAGGGGCGGATATTCGTTTTAAAAAAAACCCGGCTACGTGTGGACTAGACCTTAGAGGCGCCGTTCCCTCTCATCTGCCTGATTGCAGGGGGGGCGGGGGGGCTCCTGAGCCCTGGCCAGGGGCTCGCTGCCCTGAAGCTCCACCCCTGACGTGAAGATGGAAAGTCTGCCTACTTTGTTGACAGTCGAGGTTTCCTGAACGGAGCCGAAATTCACGTATAAACTTTAAATCACACCAAGAATCTCAAGTCTTCTCAAACCCTCTAGACAGCATTCTTTGTTTTCCTACAAGATTTACAGACAAAAAAATAAAGGGGTAAAATATACATTCCAGTACAAAAAAGAGGGAATGGAGAAGCGGAAAAAAGGATGAAGGGTAGGAAAGAAAGGAAGAAAAAAGAGAAAGATAGTTAAAGGTTCATTATTGTTGTTTTCTGATACACATTACTGCTAGCTTCACAAATTCATCTCTGTTGTTAACCTAATGTTTATTGTTAAATAGATAAAGATTTGTTTTGAAATACGCTCTAGTCAAGGCCGTGGGTCAGTTGATGGTGGTTTGGCGCCATCATGTGGACAGTTAATGACATTGCGGTTATTTTATTATTATTTGTTGTTTAATTGTGCAGTTTACTTGCAAAATCTAAACAATTAAGAGGTAAGAAACTCTTTATTCACAGTTTACCTACTTTATAAGTCTTAATGCATGTTTTTTGTGTTTTTTTAGAAACTAACCTTATATCTGACTCCTAAAACAAATGTATCCTTGCAAAAAACCCACAATTCCAGAAATCATCAACAGTAATAAAACAACCCAGTGTGACTTATCTGGAGACTGTAGACTACCAAAATGAGGCAATTCTGAAGAAATACAAACCATAAATGTGAGACAAAGGCTTCAACATAAAAAGAAATCTGCATCCAAAGAGGTGCAACAATTATTCATGACGAGACATAAAATAAATTTAAACGTTTGAAAATATAAGACAATTATGATGCATAGCCTAAATTAGCAAATGCTGCATGCAGAATCGTAGGGAAACAATAAATAGTGATTATCTTTTTTAAAACTGATGAAAAATGACAAAACATTAACCCTGAACTAAATCCAACACGTGGACTCGAGCTGACACGTCATTTTCAGCAACAAGAGTCAGCTTTAAGAGTCTGCTTGCTGCAGGCTCAGATGATCTGAATCGTCTCTCAGCTATGGCTGCCAGGGGGAACTCCCCTAATGAAACTCAAGCCTGTTCAGATCTACTCTTTTTCATTGTTTGCAGATGTCACAAACTGCATATTTATATATAATAAATAATATATATAGGTAATAATGACTGACTGGTAACAGTCTGATTATTATATGACCACCTGTTGATGTGTCTGATTTAATAACTTATTAAAACTTTGCTTTAGAAAAATGTTCATCATATAATTATTATTTAATTCAATAACTAGAAAATAATGTCAAATGTCTGGCAGCCTGTTAGAGGTGCGCAGAAGAGCATCCAACTGCAACACTGAGAAATAAAGGTAAAATAAAACCCTGACTTGTTTTCAGATGGAAACACTGTTTTATGAAAACACAGCTTGTGTGTGACCTCACTTGTAATTTCACAAACACGAAAACTCATCAGTGAACATTTACCAAAGCAGTTCATCCTCATTTTCTCCTACATTTTCCATTTTCCTTCTTTATAGATCTTTTTCTTTCACATTTGTCCAGATGATTCCTCATGATCATTCATGCAAATGAAAATAAAGATGACTGATGTCAGGTTGAATTGCACCGTGGATCTGGTGGGAGAGTCTGGTGTATGGAGTCTCCGGAGCCAGTGTGTTTGTCCTGACCATGATGATCAGAGAGCAGACTCAGACCGCAAATACTGAAACATGGCGGCATCATCCTGAGATTTAAGTCAACACTCATCACCACAACCTTCCCACTAGTTTGCATTTTAGCCATAAAAACTTCACTCTGAAAGCGCAACGACCATCTCTCCCACCAGAGGGCAGCGTTGCGTAGCGACAGGGTAACTATTTGTAATCCACTCAAACTGTGCTCACGTTTCAAAATCATCTTCTCTACAAATAAGCAGGTTTCAGCTCCTCCGCTCATGTTTTTGTGCGCTTGTTAATGTTCTGCTCTTACATCTTTGCTGCATTTGTCACTGAAATTGCATGAAACTGACAAAAGTAAAAATAAAGACAAATCTGCGGCAAATCAACTGATGAAAATCGGACAACTTTTGAAATGTGTTTTTTTTCTTATTAATATTATTATAAATACAAATATATTATTATTATTATTATTATTATTATTGTTATTGTTATTATTATTATTATTATTATTATTATTATTATTATTATTAATCTTTGGTGGTGATGACTTGACCCGTGGCGTACGTGCGCACTACTTTCAGAGAGAAGCCGCGCGGAGATGGCCTGTGAAGATTTGGGGATGCAGTTCGGCCGTGAGGAAAATGGCTAAGATGGCGTCTCGTCTAGAAACGCTGGATGGTCTGAGAAGAGTGATGATCGGAAAATGATTTATCACGACTTAATTGACAAACTTTGAGACTGTCGTTTAGTATTAGGCCTACATCCGCCATACATGCATTGAGCCCGTAAGTGTGAGGGAGCGTTCCTTATGTAGACCTGACGCTGGATACGGTTAACTTTGTTAGCAGCGTTAGCTAGCCAGCACCAACCAGTCTTTACATCAGAGGAAGGAGAGCGGCCACAGTCCCAATCACCCCGGGACATCGAGGTGTCTTCGGGTCAGTTACGGAGATGCAGTTCGACACTCTGCTTCAAGTGGTTAATAAATACCAGTATTGCTCATTTCCAAATGTGACTACTTAGCAGGTTGTTGGTATGTACTTAACGGACGGCGTGTGGATAGGTTAGCTAGCGTGCGGTACATTGTTGGTTTAGTTTCCTCAGCCTCCCATAATGCTAGCAGACGGATGCTATCTCAGAACCTTGGGAGTCAGCGGGACGGTGCTTGGAATTATGCCGAGGCCTTGATGCTAGCGTTAGTTGTTATCGCCTTCACCCGCCGAACAGGTGGACATCAACATGGGCCGTTAATACCAGTAGAAACAAACAACACCCTCGGCAGATAACTGGACTCTGTGTGTTTGTTTTCATTTCCTGTGTCGCCAAAGGTAATGCTAGTTCCTACGTCAGTTTACGTGCTAACGCTGTCAGCTAACGGGATGGTGTATAAAACGGTTCTGGGTCGACTTTAGACGAGTCTGCTTGACTTCTACATGATGAGAATTGTTATGGTTATGTTTGTTGACCCGAGCCCGCTCGCTAGTGTCCGAGTGGCCTTTAAACACCGCAGGGTTCACTGCCTCAACGCCATTGTTTGTCTGGAGGCCCGTGAACACAACCTGAAAGATTACATGCATCATAATAATGTCCCAACATTAAACTGGCTCGATTTCATCTTGTGTTTATTGGGATGTAAATAATAAACAAGTTAATCACATCGCTGTAATAGTCATGCTATATTAATTCAGTGGTGTTTCTGCGTTTAATTTGCTTTATGTTCTACTGAAACCCATCTAATACCTTCTTTCCGTTTTGTTTTACTCCTACTGGACCGTGTACGTGTTTAGTCAGCCCTAACTCCGTTCAACAGGATATTTTTCTTTTGGCCTTCATTAGCTAAAACGGGCCTGCAGCTCTGGTGCAGTGGTGTTTGGCATCGCCACTCCATCCATGAAGGTTGGAGTCCAAATGTTTGTCACCAGAGGATTGTAAACACTCCTTGGGTTCCACTAACCATAATCTAGAGGATGGGATGGAAGTGTTGGAGACACGTGGAACATGCTTGTTGTTTTCTTACATGCTAACAGAGGCAGTTATGCAAAGCGGTGCTGGTCAGCCCACACAGTGTTATCAGACAGTTGGGTAATCTGTAACAGACATGATGGAAGCATCACCCGAGCCCTTCATTGGGCTGTCATTTAGCAGAGGGGTTTGTTATTGTGTCTGAGCTGGGGGAGGGGCAGGTGTCTTGTTTTAGAAGAAGGAAAGCGATGAAACATTTCAAGGAACTAGCTCATATTTATGTCAAATGAGGAAGCTAAACAAATGAACCACCCTGTTCTACTTTGATTTATGCTAGCTTTGCATATGGAAGAAACCATTCATTTGTCTGATTTCACTGGGTTACTTGCTGCAGGTGATGAGCTATTAATAGCTAACTAGCTTATTTTTTCTGAGTGTACGTTTTTGGGGGGGGGGGGGGGGGGGGTATGTTATTCTGTGTGATATGAAAACAGAAATGTGGCTGTTTACTCTTTGTGCTGGAGTTGCGTAACTTGTTTGTGTTTTTGCTTTTGTCAGGGAAATGGAACCAGAAGAGTTTATTCCTCCTCCGGAGTGTCCAGTTTTTGAGCCGTCATGGGAGGAGTTTCAGGATCCTCTCGGCTATATTGCCAAAATACGTCCTATTGCTGAGAAGTCTGGAATCTGTAAAATTCGCCCCCCACCTGTGAGTACTGGCTGACATTTGTATTATAATCTCGTCTAAACCGAACCGGGGACAACAGGTCGTTTCTGCTGTTGTCTCAATTAGTTTTTTATTCACTTTCATCTGTTCATACATTTTAGATAGGATGCTGACGTAGGGCTGGCCAATAAATCGAAAATGTATCATTATCGAAATTTCTGACTCTTATTGTGATCATTTTCCCCGTGTCAATAAATGTGATAATAAAAGAAATAAAAAGGTGTGTGTAGGTTGGCAGTGGTCATGTCCCTTTAAGAAGCTGTGGGTGTTTCTCAATGTCAAGGCGCCTGGCCTTGCGAGGCGATGTCTTGCGAGGCCAGGCGCCTTGCTTACGAGGACTCTGTCCTTCCTTGGTCAAAGAAAACGGTTAAACGGAACAGACTTGCATCACGTGACACGGGAGATAACGTTATATTTTATACAAGGGATGCAACAATACCACTTTTTTCCAAACCGATACGATACCGATACTTGTGTCTGAGTACTTGTCGATACCGATTACCAATACCGATACTTCTACCGCACAAAAAAATGCTATGATTTGGAACACAGATTTTATTTTCTTCTCTACTTTCATCAGGAAAAGACTGTGAGGTAGATAAAAAGTAAAATATATGAATGGAAATCATCACAAAACTAAAATATTAGGTGAACAGAAATTACAAGTTACAGGGAAGCCATTTTCAAGCAACTGCATTGTTATCGGTTCCTGGTATCAGTTAACTTTTACCGATACTGGCATCGGCACCAATATCGTATCGGTGCATCCCTGTTATATACGTATGTTTATTAAATTAAATGTATAAGTGAGATACTACCCACTAGTCACCGAAGCTGCAACTACTAAGCAACTAACCAACCATAGATAACTTCTTTGGATTAAAAGAAACATTTTAAATTAGTTGACTTACTTTTAAATTTGAAAATTGGCCCAGAAGTAGCTGCCGGCTTCTGATCCGCCGCCCTTTTGATAATACCGCGGTGTATTGTGGGTAATTTTTGACCAAGGCTAGGCTACAAGACACCACCCATGAATCCTTGCTCAGCTAGCTAAACAGCTAACAAACAGAGAACACACGCCTCGGTAGAACATGAACATTGGAACCGACTGGAACACGTCTTGGTGGCTCCTGATGACGTATCTCCTAGGCAACCGGGGCGGGGCCAAGACATCAAGGCAAGGTTCCTTGACATTGAGAAACACCCTGTACCACCTTGAGTCATGTAAAAATCTCAACTAATACATGTGACAGCCCCATCTAGTGGACAACTTTTGTCTCTGCGCATACCTGTAGTTATCGTCCATTTATTGTTACGGAGGTGAAATCCTCAATTTATCGTGATATTGATTTTAGGCCGTATCGCCCAGCCCTATGCTGACGTAAATATGTCTTTGCTTCCATACAGGACTGGCAACCACCGTTTTCAGTTGAGCTGGACACCTTTCGCTTCACTCCCCGCATCCAGAGGCTAAACGAGTTAGAGGTAGGAGCATGTCCAGCTTGACGCAGCTGCAATGGCAAATTTACTGAACAAGCTAGCTTTTAAACACCATCACAGAACTCTCACCTTCCCGTCAGCTGTCATGACTGGGCTGCGCTCCCCTGACACCAGAACCTTCCATTACCAGAGGAAACGAATGAGCTCTAAACACCAGTCGCCATTTTCTAGGTCCAAACGTTTCTTGTTGTGTGTAGCTTCAAATGGTGCTTTTCTTTTTGGTACTCTGGTAGTTTGTCCTAAAGTTGAAGTGGTAGCAGCCGGCTGTTTCTCCTTCTCTATCATTGAGAACCTCTCACACCGGTGTGTGTTGCTAATGAGTGGAGGACCCATGGAAGTGTGGCAGTTTGGTGAGACCAACAACCGGATGGTCCAGTGGTTGGTTTTGGTCCAAGCCGTGTTATTGGCTGAGGGTTGTAGCCAAATGTGAGAGAACCACTTAATTTTTCTTTTCATCTCCACAATATATTTATATCTATGCTATGTTAGAACATTAAGAGGCATGAAGAAGAAAGCTTTAGGCTAGCTCGTTCTGCAGACTTGCTGTTGTAGCTTTAAGCTAGCATCCGTGTGGTCTAGGAAAATGGGGTCAAAACACGGTGCTCTGTCTTGCATGGCTTGTATCAAACACCAGATTTTCTGATCACAACATTTCTAATATTCTCACTTCCTTCATCTTCTCACCTTAGGCTGAAACCAGAGTGAAGCTCAACTATTTGGACCGCATCGCCCGGTTTTGGGAGATTCAAGGCTCTTCCCTAAAAATCCCTCACATCGAAAGGCGCATTGTTGACCTTTACAGCCTGTCAAAGGTGGGTGGAAAGCAGATTTCTTCCTTAAACACATTTGAGCTTCTTTGAAAGCATGCTTCTCCTTCCAGAATGTGACGGATGAGGGAGGTTTTGAGATGGTGTGTAAGGAGCGGCGCTGGGCTCGTGTAGCGCAGAGGCTCGGCTACCCTCCAGGGAAGAACGTGGGCTCTCTGCTGCGCTCCCACTATGAGAGGATCGTCTACCCATTTGAAATGTTCCAGTCAGGGGCCAGCCTTCTGGTATTCCTTTACATGTTTACCCTGTCGTGTGATTTACAAAAGTCTTGCTGTTCGTATTAGACCTGACTTCAGGATTTGTTGTTCATGGTGGACAAGCTTTTACTGAACATGGTTTTGCATCGTCTCTAGCATTACAAGCCAAAGCACTATGACGGAGAAGACGTGGATAAAGAGTACAAGCCTCACTCCATCCCGCTGCGACAGTCTGTGCAGCCGTCCAAAATGAGCAGTTACGGTCGCCGGGCCAACCGCTGCCAGCCCGACGTGAGTCTCAGTATCAGCTGTTACTGCTCATCTCCCTGGAATCTGTATGGTTGTCTTCCTCTACGTGTTTCAGCAGTTAGAGCGTTTCATATCCAACAGATGACAACAGTGACGCTTCACAACCCTCCTATCTGTATTTGTTCTCGTAGTAAACGCAGACCAGGTTTTGTGATGAGAGTCCACCCAGCAAACAGCTTTCAGAGATCTGTTCTGACTCGTCTAGCACCACCATCTCAGCCAGGCCTCCTACTGGACAGAAAACACACATTTGGCTTTTTGGTGCCTTTGTTCAGTCTGTGTAGGTCCACGCGAGAAGATGTTACTGAATACTACGGTCCAGCTGAAGAATTTACCGTCAAGTTACAAAAAGTCTAATTAGATCATCACAAACGAAGATCTGAGCTCCGACGGACAAACTCTCTATATGTCCGCTCTGATCGGTGTAGACATGAAGCTGTCCTGTTACCTCCCACCACACACACACACACCCCAGTATGTATGGCCTAGAACAAACCGTACTTCCTGTTTGGTTCATCAGCAGGATATTTAGAGCGCCTCATCAGTAAACGTGAGGTTTTTACAGCGCAGGATGGGCTGTCATCACATGTTTTTATCTCCTGCACAAGCTCCATGATCTCTCGCGTCCACACGATGCGACGCTGCACTCAGAGTGCTTCCCAGCCTGCTTGTTTTCCATCCTGTCCTGTGCCTTTCTGCTTCATCGTTCATGCTGCCTGCCTCTCTCCATTTACTCCTTAAGCCTGAGTCATGCTTCTCCGTCAGCTCCAACAGGCACACACGCACGCGCACACACACACACACACACACACACACACACACACAGACATTTTGCTCTCATGCTTCGTCTCCTGGAGAGTGTTGCAAAGCAATTCCCCGCCAGGACAGCAGAGGGCGTAGCGCTGTTCTGTGGTATCCTGTCAGGTATCGGTCCATGACAGTGTGTTTATATTGTGTTTGTGTATATAGGAGACTTTTTAACACGGACATATTTGTCCACAAATAAAACGCTTGCTGTGCATCTTTTCACTCCTCCAGTCACGGACTTAAACGTTCATGTTTTTAGAGTTTATTCTCGAGGTATTGAACCTTCTCCGTGTCTGCCGCTAGTTATTCTCGGCTCTCTTTAAGTTTGTGAGGGCGCAATGGCGGCGGTGTAGACGACAGCGGCGCCCTGACCAATCACAAGCTTGCGTTCTCCGTCTCGACGGACGGATGTTTAGAAAAGAGAGCTCGACTCCGTCCGTCCTTGCGGGGCTCTCCAGCAGGCCCGCAAGGACGGATGATGGCGTTGCGTGTCTCCGCGCTGTCGCAGACGCTGAAGCATGACTCAGGCTTCAGTTTTATTTTAAATCAAACAGATAATTATCTTACAGCTTGTTTTTAAACCCGAACTCTCTCTGGCCAGGCCACACCTGATCACATGACCTTTTAAATAAAAGTCTTTAAAAAATGTATAAATAATGTTTTAGCTTAAGGAGTTACAGAAATCCTATTTACAGTTAAAGTCCCATAGTTGTCACACACACTGGTGTGACCCATCCCTGGGGAGTGGTGAGCTGCAGCGGTGGCTGTGCTCAGGGACCCTTTGATGGTTTAACACCCAATCCACAGCCTTACAGCCGAGTGTCAAGGAGGGAGGCCTTGGGTCCCATTGTTAAGGTCTTTGGTGTGACCCGACTGGGATTTGAACCCGATCCCAGGGTGGACACTCTGCCACTAGGCCACTGAGCTGATGTTTATTTTTAAAGATGGCTGCTTTGTGTGGGTTTGTTGCGGTGACATTTAAAGCATCATTTAGTTTCATCATTATTTAAGAGCATCCTGCTTTATCACACGTTGTTTTTGTTTTACTAATGGGCTCGACACACGGGAGGCGACAAACGACCGCGATCAGCGAAATTTGACGCTGTCGCTTTTATTACCTGACACACGGGAGGCGATCTGCGGCAGCGGCCAGCGGCAAAGCCGTCTACGCGTTCTGTTCCATGGCGAAATTGAAACTTCTGTTGTTTTGATTGGCTGTGTCAGGTTGGAGGGAATTAATGTTATTTAAGTGGTAGATGTGATGTTTCACAAGGTGCTGCTAGAGTTATGTGAAATCTTACTTCTGATTTTACTATAAAACATAATAATAATCAACTTCTCCTCCATGTTTGCTCGGAGGTGTACGGAGCTTCCTGTCCGCTCATTGGTCAGTGAATGAAACCTCCGTTGATTGGTCCTCGTCCGAGCGACAGCGATGAAAAGTTGAAAATGTTTCAACTTTCTGGGATCGCGTCGCTGGGTCGCCTGTGCACGACACGTGCACGAACGCAAAATTTCACACGCACGTTTTTCGCGTTTCGCTTGGTAGGAGGGAGACCCGCGATTATCACTTTGTCACGCATGTCTCATTGAAAATGAATGGAGGAGAGGCGATGTGGCCTCCCGTGTGTCGAGCCCATAAGGCCTACAAGTCCACGAACCCCACACTAGCTGACCCCTCCTCCATGACTCTGGCTGGTTCTCCTGCAGCCTAAAACACAGTTTCATGTCAGACAGGTTTTGTTCCATTATGTAGTCTAGGCACATTTGAATGAAGATGTTAAAACTCTTGTTTTGGGTGAAAACAAGAACGTGTGCTGATAGTCACAGCAGGACTGTAGCTGGTAGGACATAACTGCCCTTTTCATGTGTGACGTTCACCTCAGCGACCGCTGCCCTACAGTCAGTCTGTGTAACGTATTCTGAGCTGGGCTCCACGGAGGTTCATCTGTGTTTGTTTTTCAGGCTTCTCTCCCTTCCTCCTCCCTCTTTTCCTCTTGTCTTAGTTTATTGTTGCTGTTATTGTCTCCCCTTGCAGGGTCCAGAGGATCTGGCCCCCCACCCTCTCACCACTGGCTCTCAACTCATCTCTGCGGTACTGCCTCTTGAGCATAAGAGCCCACCCCGATTCCCTCTGCTCTTTCTAGACCACCATCCCTCCTGTCCAGCTGCACTTGTTAAAACGACTAAAACATTTTCATAGCTTCTGCTGCCCTCCGTGTGAGGCTGCTGCTCCGTGTTAGCCTCAGTTCACCAGTAACAGTGATCCTAAAACCTGTAGTGAGTGAACACACGGGGAGCTTCTTCTCACCCTTTGGGTCATTACTGATACTGAAGTTAGTTAGTTAGACAGACACCATAGTTCTTTATCATTGTGGTTTTTCTGGTGACATGTCTCAGTTTCACCGCAGCGACAAAGCGAGTCTTGGAGTCGACGTGCTCGTTTTCACTCACTCACTCACTTCCTGTGGCCGGCTGATGCTTACCTAAACTCTCCTGCTTTCTGTCCGCTGCTAAAGCTGCATGCCTTCTGTTCTGAGTGCACTTAAGTCTGTTTACCAGACGTGAGTCGTGCTTCGGTGTATCGTGCTTTCATGACAGAATAAAACGTTGGATTCTTAGAGATTCAACATTTTAACCGTTATTCCTGGCGGGGTTAGGGTTAGGGTTAACCCTAACCCCCAAATTCCACTACCTCCGCTCCGCTCCGACACGAACGCCGGAGCAAAATCGGTCCCGTTGTAGTCAATCAGAGCTATTCCACTACTGCGGCCGCGCTCCGGCAGTGCGGCGTCGTGCGCCGCCCTCTGTTCCGGCGTCCGGCAAAAATAGAATCAATCCTATTTTCGCCGGACGCCGGAGCACCTCCGCAGTAAATGGACAGAAATCACAACTGCCCAACAGGAAAGGGAGCAATCACAATTTCCGTTTTTCACAATAAATCGATAAACAAAAGGCGTTTTTTGTTTCATACACAGGTTTAACAACTTTTAACAACTATCAGTGGCGGCTGAAGTTTAAATGCACAAAAATAAGCCATAAATACAGTTTCTACTATCAAAGTAGTCACACTTTGTTGATCCAAACACTGCTGATCTCTCAACACAAATGATGGGCAGATTAAACAGCTCATTTCGATGTTTCTCCCACACAACGGGTGTTTGATCTAACTTCCGCGTTTATTGCTCGGACTGTATCGCAAGATCTCGAAAATCCCGCGCATGCCTGTTTGCCCCCCTCAGGTCTCCGCACCGGAGCGGAGCCGTTGTAGAGCGGGTAGCAGTAAACATTGAGTTTGGAAGCGAGCGGCTGCGGAAGGCGGGGGCGGACCGGAGCGGAGGTAGTGGAATTTGGGGGTAACCCTTCTCCCCAGATTTAACTTGTTGAAAGCCAAATCTCTGTGACGTGGTTGTGCTCTTCATCTGCTTTGGTGTCTGCTGCTGCCACTCCCAACACTGCAGGCTCAGTATGTAGGCCGGAGGTTGTTGGGCCGGCCAGCTGCCGATGCATGCCAGAAGAGCTTGCAGCTGCAAACATGATGGAGCTAACTATTGGGCTTCTTCTGTAGCCGTTTAAAACCAAACAGCATCGTTTATGGTTCTTTTTGCTTTGTTCACCACTCACTAATGTTAGATGGTGCTGATGGGATTTTTCTAGTGGCAGTGCAGCAGCACATCCTTCACCACACCAAAATGTAGTGCAGATACATTTAAAGTTACATTTTCACACAAGATGGTTGAAGGGTTTTTACAGAGACACATTAGTGAGCGCGAGTGTTTGTTTCAAGGTGGAGAAACACGAGGAAAGTTGGAACCAAGAAGACCTCCACCTCCTCGACACGATTAACAGGCCTGCAGGTGGAAGCCTAGTGCCACTGGCGTCGGCTTCGATCTCATTAACACACTTCCTGCGTTAGCCAGGCTGTGGTGGACACAAACGAATCTAAAGCTGTGGTTGCATCTGCTGGTGGTGTTTTCTGGTCTTACCTCCTAACCTTTCATCTGTCTGGTTTAAACGGTTGACTTCTTCTTTCAAACCTCGCCTGACACCTTTTGGTGATGCTCTGGTGTTAAACCGTGTTGTTGTGCACCTGGCCTAGACTGTTGCTTTGCTCTCTGTGCTTAGAGGAGTAGCTGTGGTCCAGATGTGTCCTCGTGTGTAAAGTGTGCTTGTTATCCACAGCCGGAGCCTACAGAGGAAGACATAGAAAAGAACCCAGAGCTGAAGAAGTTGCAGATCTACGGTGCGGGACCTAAGATGATGGGACTTGGACTGGTAGCAAAGGACAAGAACCTTAGGAAGAAAGGCAAGTAACTGGTTTGCAGTGAATGTTAAATATATTAGTGGTTAACTGCTCTATTAGTCGAGCAAAGAAAACAAAATATTATTATAAAATAATATTTTAAACATTTTGTTAATAGTAGGGATGTGTATTGGTGAAATTCTGGCGATACAATACGTATTACGATACAGGGGAGACGATACAATATATCACGATATATTGCGATACATTCAGTCAGACGATATTGGTGATTTTTTAGACTAAATTTATTATAGGAAAATTCAATAAACAGTCCAAACTGATACCTAACATGTTAAACCGTAACAGAGGGATTTACATTTCAATGACAGAAACAAAACCCATTACACACTGCTGCCAACTAGTGGTCAGAGTTTGAATTGCACCACACTAAAAGAAAATACACAAATGTTTCCATGTAAATTCTTCCAAAAATTAGATACACGGCTTTTGAATTTCGATACATTTTTGCAGGAAAAAAATATCACGATATATTGCGATATCGATATTTTCGATACACAGCTTTTGAATATCGATATAATATCGCTGGGGAAAATATCACGATATATTGCCATAATCGACATTTTCTTACATCCCTAGTTAACAGATTTGTGCCAGTTTTCTTAGAGACGTATGAAGATATTTTGGGAATGAATGAATGTAGAACTTGGCTAAAATCGAGTCATCTGATGACAAATGAATCATTACCTGTAGCATTATACAGAAACCAGATGTAATAAGTAGCTCGTCTCTTCCAGGAAGGTTATCTAGTTGTGATATTTCCACCGTCTGGCTGCAGAAGGGTTCTTTGTGACTCTGTTCTTCTAAAGTCTGAGAATCTCAGCATTCCTGAACCTGAACCATGCAACTATGATCCACAGCATTATTCTCTAGCTAGTCTTTGACCTTTGGTTCAGCTTGGCATCTGGTGAGTTTGTAGTTCAGATGGGAACCTGTTGCACCCTGAAGCCTACCGTGGTGTGACTGTGTGGGATTTCTGAGTCTAATCCTGAGTGTGTCCTGCTGTAGATGAGCTGCCTCAAACTCTAACTATCAAAGAGCGCGCGCCCCCGACTTCTGGTGACATCCCAGTGAAATCCGAGCCTCCGGAGCCTGAGGAGCAGCAGCCCGATGGAAGCCCATCCAAACCTCCGACGCCTCCTCACAGCCTTCCCTTAAAGACGGAAGTAAAGAAAGAAGAGCAGCAGGAAGAGGATGATGGGGTAGGAGAGGATATAGACGAATCCAAAATGACAATGAGGCTAAGGCGCACCCCTAACAACCCACAGTGTGTGAGTAGATCATCTGACCCGCCGGGTCAGCGCAGCAAACCCAGACACCAACAGCAACATTACGCCTGTTTCTCTTCTGAAGGTGGATTCCTACGTCTGTCGCATGTGCGGCCGCGGAGACGACGACGAGAAACTTCTCCAGTGTGACAGCTGTGATGAGAACTATCACACCTACTGTCTGTTACCCCCCCTCACAGATCCTCCTAAATGCAACTGGCGGTGCCCAAAGTGTGTAGCGGAGGTAAGTAGTGTCGACACGCTCCTGCTGACGTCTCCTGGCCAACACGACTTGTTCATTTAGAAGTTTTTCCACTTTCTCTGTTTTTTATAGGAGTGTAAGAAACCTTCCGAGGCATTTGGCTTTGAACAAGCAACAAGGGAGTATACCCTGCAGAGTTTTGGAGAGATGGCAGATTCTTTCAAAGCAGATTATTTTAACATGCCTGTTCATGTAAGTCTGCCTGAGGAGGGCGTCTCCTGCTGGCTAGGAGTTTGTAGCCACAGAGACGAGTGGCTGATGTCAGACTTTTCTGTGCAGATGGTTCCCCCTGAGCTGGTGGAGAGGGAGTTCTGGAGACTAGTCAGCTGCATCGAAGAAGACGTGACCGTTGAGTACGGCGCCGATATTCACTCTAAAGAGTTTGGCAGCGGCTTTCCAATGAACAATGGGAAGAAGCAGCTCACCAAGGAAGAGGAGGTGTGTCTCCAGTTTCTTTACGCTCAACACTTTGCAGGAACTGAAGCTCAGCTTCCAGTTGCCAAGCTTTTGCACAGATTAGTTATTTTGAGTTTTATTTTGGGCAGAAATCCTAGCTGTTACCTGGATGCTCCAGAGTTGCTACTTTTAGCTGTTAGTGTTGAGATTTCCTCAACCGCAGACTTAAAAATCCCTCGCCTTTTGGCGAAATTCAGAGTTTTGAATCCTAAATGGGTAGGGTTGGGCATCGAGCGTCGATCGGAACCGGGACCTGCTGTTAGTTTTTCCCGGAATCGTTCAAAATCAAACGATGCCCAACCCTAAAAATGTGTCACGTACGTAGGGATGGGTACAGAATTCGGTACTTTTTAAGGTACCGACCGAATTCCATAGTACCGACCGAGCACCGATTCACGTCATTTCAAACGGTGCCTCGTTTCGGTACCCGTCCATCATTACGAGAACTTGCCTAGACAGCTGCGCATGCGCAAGAGCGTTATGTCGTCGGTCGCTGCGAGCCAGTTGTAAACAGAGCAGCATGGTAGAAAGAACGCACGCTAACGCTTGGGTCCACTTCACTAAATGTGATGGGTAACTGGGTGATGATGAAACCAGCGACAACGATCTAAGTGAGACATCCTCATCTTAATCTGCTCCGGTAGGTAAATATAATTAGCTTGATATGTTAGCTTCCGTTTCGCTAATGGTGCGTTCGCTTTCTCCTCGGAACTCCGAATTTCCGACTAGAACAACATGAACGCGCTCTAAAATTTGGCTTCACTTAACTAAATGCGACGGGTGAAGACGAATCCAGTGACGATCTAAGTGTGCGGCATCATCGTTTTAATCTGCTCCAGCAGCTAAATAAACTGTTTAAGATAACGTTAGCTTGTTATGTTAGCTTCCATTGTTATCAGCTAATGGTGCGTTCGCTTTCTCCTTGGAAATTCTAACTTCCCAGTAGGAAAAATCAAATGAAAAAAGACGGCAAAAGGAATGAAGATACACAGTAAATTTAGTTCACAGTAAAGATGTTTGCTTCAGTTTAATTATCAGCTTATAAAACTACAAGGACGATGTTAAAATACAAACAGTTGTATGTTATTTATCGTGATATTTATCAAATATTGTTATATATTGAGAAAAATATATATTTAATTATAAAAGAGAATTAAAATAATAAACACTCAAAAGTATCAAAAATTGGTACCGTTAAGTACCGGTATCGATTCGTAGGTACTGGGAATTAGTACCGGATCGATTCAAATGTCAAAGGTACCCATCCCTACACGTACGTGATACGTGCAGATCCGGGGGGGTACAGCGGGGGCTGGCTAGTTTCAACATCATCCACTGGCGGAAACATTCAAGTGGGTTTTTAAGACGTCCCTAACACCACCAACAGTTGGAAGAATAATTACCGTAAATCCTCTAATACAGGCCCGGGCCTTTATTTACGCAAAGACATCTTAGTTCAGGCCTTCATTCGAAGGAGGCCAGAATTAGAGGCAGGCCTCAGTTTGTATTGGAGCAAAATAAACTACCAGTAGAGTAAATAAAACAAGTTTTTGTGTATTTGAGCCTATAAAACACCAGGTTTGTTCATCCAAAATGTACAGTTAACATTTAATGTTCGAGCGTTCGTGTCTCGTTTGGTTTGAAGTAAAAAAAACAAAATCCTCATGTTCTGCAGTTCCACGTTACAACACCGAGCTAACGGCTAAAAACATTAGCACTCTACCAGCTATTTGTGGCGAGGACGCATGAGAGCAGTATCAAACTGTTTACCTGCTGTTTATGTAGCTGCGTTTCTAAGCTGCTCAATTAAACGCCGTAAACACCTTTAGTGAACCCTTACCTGTGGTAGGTGATCAGGGCAAACTAGCATTTTCTGTTCCGCTTCTGCTCATCTTGCAGTCGGAGATTACGATCCACTATTACGTCTTTGTTCACTTGGTTGCAGTGAGTCCTCTGTGGAGTGCTGCTTTCGAGACACGGGAAAAAATAAACGCTTGTTTTTGTAGGCTGGACTTGTGGCGCAGCGCCACACCGGAGCCTCATCCAGACACTTCAGTTTGTCCTACAAATGCCTTCAATTCTGATTACACACGTTTATAACCTACTGATGCTAAGCTGTTCTTGTCCTACTTTATTTAAATGTTGTAGATTTACGCTGCGCACCAAAACTCAGCCTTTAGCTACATGTACTTTTATCTGGTAGTTTAAAGAAACCATCATTATGCAAGGATGACCTGGCAGGGGACCGGAAACGCACCAAGTCATGACAAAAGGCATCTTAGGCATGGAGCCTAGTAGGGTTGTCACGGTAACCGGTGTAGCGGTAAACCCCGGTAAAAAGAGTTGACAATAATAATAACCGTCTTGTTTTTAAAAAAAAAACAATATTATCTCGCTGGATTACCGTGGCTGCGGTGTAGGCGCGGTGACCCTTACCAGCCACCGTATCATCTGCTGAAGTTGCCGGCGGCACATACACGCTTTGTTGTTTACAACCAAAACTTTCTTGAAGCTAAAGCTGAAATAATGGCCAAAGGAAGAGACGGCAGCGCTCAGGAGGACATTTATTATCCCTCAAAGAAGACAAAGTGGGAAGTACGGGCATCTTTTGGATATGTGAAGAATGCCGAGGGACAGCTGATAGAAGACGGCTATCCTGTTTGCAGCACGTGCAGAAAAAGTGTCTGTGAAAGGCAGCAACGCTTCAAATCTCATGACACATCTGCGTGACCATCACCCACAACTCTACAGTCAACGCAAGGCAAGCTAACGTTAGCGTTTTAGCTAAAATGCGTGATCCGAGGATTTGGGTTGAGGGAGAATTCAATGAGTCGCTCTATAAAGCAGCCGCAGCGCCGCTACCTGCATATAAACCGTGTCGCGGACACCGCCATGTTGAAATGACGCTATGCATTACGGGGCTCCCAGGGGCAGATAAGAGTTGGTCTCTCTCCGAGAATAATTATGAATTTAACAACGATTACTGCCTGATGACATTTTCCCACATCTGCAAAGCTCACTGGAAGGTCACAAACCGAGGACAATATTTTCCTGATATAGGGTTTATGTAGTTGTCTGAAAATGTAGCACGTTTAAAAAAATACCTCGATAATACCGAAAACTGTGATAATATTGGTCACAATAACCGTGAGGTTACATTTTCACACCGTGCTAACCTTAGAGCCCGGCTGCTGCCACCTGAACAGGAACTAGTTTAAGTCCAGCTCAACGTTTTAGTAACTGCAAATATAAAAGGTGCTCACTCGGGTGTGGTGTGCGTGTGCCTGTGTGTGTGCGTGTGTGTGTGTGCGTGTGTGTGTGTGCCTGTGTGTGTGTGTGCCTGTGTGTGTGTGCCTGTGTGTGTGTGTGCGTGTGTGTGTTTGTGTGTGTGTGCGTGTGTGTGTGCCTGTGTGTGTGTGTGCGTGTGTGTGTTTGTGTGTGTGTGCGTGTGCGTGTGTGTGTGCCTGTGTGTGTGTGTGTGCGTGTGCGTGTGTGTTGGACAGGAGTACGCTCGCTCTGGCTGGAACCTGAACGTCATGCCTGTTCTGGAGCAGTCGCTCTTGTGCCACATCAATGGAGACATCTCTGGGATGAAGGTGCCGTGGCTTTACGTTGGCATGGTGTTTTCTACCTTCTGCTGGCACATCGAGGACCACTGGAGCTACTCCATCAACTACCTGCACTGGTACACTTATTACACGTGTTTTAGATCCTCACGCGTCAGCGAGGAAGCTTAAATGATGTCTGAGGGCTCCTGCTTCGTCTTTAGGGGTGAACCCAAGACCTGGTATGGAGTTCCCTCAGTGGCAGCTGAGCAGCTTGAAGAAGTTATGAACAAGCTGACCCCAGAGCTGTTTGAGTTTCAGCCCGACCTTCTGCATCAGCTGGTCACCATCATGAACCCCAATATCCTCATGGCTCACGGAGTCCCGGTCAGTCCCACAGCAGCACGTGTTCAGAAGACAGCCGTCTGTTCAGGAGCTCTCTCTGACTCTCCGCTCGTTTCCTGGCAGGTTGTACGCACCAACCAGTGTGCAGGTGAGTTTGTAATCACCTTCCCCAGAGCCTACCACAGCGGCTTCAATCAGGGATACAACTTCGCAGAGGCCGTCAACTTCTGCACTGCTGACTGGGTATGTTGGTTTACCGTGTCTCCGTACGGAGAGACGTGTTATTAAACCACGTGTCACCTAGGCCACGCTCCTCTCTCCCTTCTAGCTTCCAGCCGGTCGCCACTGCATTGAGCATTACCGCCATCTGAGGAGGTATTGCGTGTTCTCTCACGAGGAGCTCACCTGTAAAATGGCTGCCAGTCCAGAGAAGCTAGACCTGAACCTGGCTGCAGCGACACACCGGGAGATGTTCATTATTGTTCAGGAGGAGAGGAAGCTGCGCAAGAGTCTGATGGAACGGGTGAGGCACAAAAAGGTTGTGTGTGAGTTGGAGCTGCTGGGAAGATGGAGATTTGTTTCATGCCCAGTCAGAGCGGACGACTGTTGTGTGTCGTCTCGCGCACACGTTGTAATGTCGATGCTCAAACGTAGCATCATGCGGCTCTAGTGAGTCCATTTTGTGTGGGACTAAATTCGGGTTGTGTCATGTTGAATCTGTGTTTTGTTGCTGCCGAAGGCTGAGAATATTCCTGCTCTTAACCGCGCATACCCGCCGCTGCACCACACGTAGTACTAGAGTATTCCACTGGGGGGCGCAGTACAGGACTCACGCCAGGTAGTCTGTAGAGGACAAACTAAACAAACACACGATGATAGAAGAGATCAGCAGCTGTATCGTACACCTGTAAAGCAGAGACGGCGTGACAATGGTAAGTGTGCCTCGCTTGTTTTTTTAACTCCTCCTACTCGTTACGCATCGCGTTAATGTCAGAGGACGAGCACTAACGACCCCTCAGACAAACCCAAGCTACGCGAGGCAGCCACGGTGACACACGTGATTAAACGCAGGTACATTCTCAGCCGTACACAAGAACATTCAGACGGATTAACTGAAATCCATCTTGGACTGGCAGGGCATAACAGAAGCTGAGCGAGAGGCCTTTGAGCTGCTTCCGGATGACGAGAGGCAGTGCGATAAATGTAAGACCACGTGCTTCCTCTCGGCTCTGGCCTGCTCCAACTGTCCCGAACGTCTGGTGTGTCTCTATCACACCCAAGATCTGTGCAACTGTCCCGCTGAAAAGCTCTACCTCAGGTATTCTTCTCCCACAAACACCTGAGCTGCTGGATCACACCCAGAGTTCTCACCGTTTCCATGTCTCAACCACGTGCAGGTACAGATACACCTTGGATGAGTTGTTGGCGATGTTGCATCGGTTAAAAGTCCGATCCGAGTCGTTCGACTCCTGGGCCAATCGAGTGAAAGAGTCGCTTGAGCAGGATGAAGGACATAAGATCGGTCAGCATAACTCGTTCCCGTCAGCCTCTGGAGGAAAATCGGTCTTTTGTTTCTCTAAATCGAAATTTTCTTTGATTTTTAGACGTTTCTGACCTGGAGAAACTAAAGATGGAAGCTGTGGAGAAGAAGTTTCCAGACAATGAACTTCTCAGGAAGCTCAACTCTGTTCTCAAAGACATCACTTACTGCCAGCAGGCCAGCGCCGAGCTGCTGAGCAACACCAAGAGCGGGTAAGATGGAGCCAGTCTCAGCCTCCACTCCTGAGAGCTGATCTGTCGTTAAACTCGCTGCTGTTCTTAGGGAAGGCAGGATGAGTCTGGAGCAGCTCAAGTCCTTGGTTGAGAAAATGCTCAACCTGCCTTGTGGGATAAACCAGCTGGAGGAAGTTCAGGTAAGGTCCACGGTGATGAGGATCTGAGGAGCTACAGAGCCGGTCTTTATCTCTAGTTGCAGAAAGAACGATCTAAAGCTGTCAGAAAACTCAAAGCAGCTGTGATGTCGTATTTCTCTTTCGAAGGCGGTCCTGGGGACTGTTGAGGATTTCCAGAAACGGGCTCAAATACTCGTCCGTAACGAGGACTGCAAGAAAGACTCGCCAGCACCTGTGCAGCTGGAGTCGTTGTTGGAGCAGGGGGCCAGTCTGCCCGTGATTGCTCCAGAGTGTCATTTCCTCCAGGGCCTAAAGGAGCAAGGCCGCTGGCTGGAAGAGGTGAGACGAACGCTCGGCTCAGAGGGAGGAGAGAAGCACGAAGTGACCCTGGATGTGCTGAGGAACCTGATGGAAGCCGGCTGCAACGTGCCTCAGAGTGGCTCTGTAGAAACGGCCATGGCAGAGCTTCAGGAGCTGCTCACGATTGCAGAACGGTGGGAGGAAAAGGCCCAGATCTGCTTGGAGCAAAGGTACGGCACACGGCTCAACCCAGAACACGTATCACACGTATCGCTGCGGCCGCAGCCCCTGGGGTTGCCATTCTGGCTCTTCCTGACAATAAAGAGTCTGTTTTTTACTCTTCAAGGCAAAAGCATCCTCTCTCCACCCTGGAGGCCATAGTGAGCGAGGCCCAACTCATTCCAGTCACGCTGCCCAACATTCTGGCTCTGCAGGACTGTTTAGTGCGAGCTCGGGCCTGGGTAACAGACCTGGAAGAAATACAGGTGAGAATAAAGCCTTCGTCTACATTCAACACCCCCTTGTGTTGGTTGGATTTGTGGTGAACTTCTGAAATGTGCCGCTGCAGAATGGAGAGCATTACCCCTGTTTGGATGACCTCGAGGGCCTGGTGGCGATCGGACGAGACCTGCCAGTCTTCATGGAAGAACTAAGGCAGCTGGAACTGCAGGTGGCCAGTGCTCACGCCTGGAGGGACAAGGCCACCAAGACCTTCCTCAAGAAGAACAGCCAGCACAGTCTGCTAGAGGTAACGTCCAGGAACACGAGACGTTTGCAGCTTTTGGCTTGAAGGAGTGTGCACACGTATGTCGGTGCAGCATAATGTGACCCTCGTGAAACCCCTGCAGGTGCTGTGTCCATGTGCAAAAAGAAGAGAGAAGCGAGTGGAGGCGGCCCTGCCGGAAGACCCTGTGGACGATTCTGGTTCCAACACTTTGGGGCTCTCTGCTCAGGCCCTGAGGGACCCTGCAGCTATTGTAAGAGTCCCAAATCTTTGCCCGGTTCTGCGTTTGACGCCTCGGCGCTGTGGTTGTAAATGTGGCTCCTCCCGTTTTCAGGTGATGGCGTTCAAAGAAGGGGAACACCAGGAAAAGGAGACCCTGCTCAGGTTACAGAGGGTGAACCTGTGTAAAGCTGGACTTGCAGCAGGTGGTAAGGAGAAGCGGTGGTGTGAGACCACGAAGACTAACACATCCAGCCATTCTGAGAACTCTGTAAGAGAGAACGGAAACGGCTGCACCGGCCCCCCTCAGCCGGTGTGCGTTTGCTCTGAACCTCCTCGGGCTCCTCAGCTTCGCTGCCATCTCTGTAAAGACTGGTTCCACGGCAGCTGCGTCCCCGTTCCTTCTCTACTGCCCTCCTCCGGACAACCAATCAACCCCCTCTGCTGGTGGGACTGGGACACCCGCTTCTTGTGTCCTCAGTGCCAGCGCTCGCGGCGCCCTCGTCTGGAAACTATTCTGGCTCTGCTTGTTGCCCTGCAGAGGCTACCCGTGCGTCTACCTGAAGGAGAAGCTCTGCAGTGCCTCACGGAGAGGGCCATCACATGGCAGGGTCGAGCCAAGGAGGCACTGGAGACGCCAGAGCTCCTGCAGGTGCTGCTTAAGCTGCAGGAGCTCAAGGAAACGCTCCAGTGTGATGCCAGAAGAGCAGAGGAGGAGAGGGACGGGAATTCAGTCATAGTTTTGTCAGACTCTGAGGGAGGGGAAGGGGAAGATGATGTCATCGACCTAACGGAGGAGTCGCCTAAGAAGAAAACAAAGGAAAGCAACACTACTCAGGTAAGCGCCGTCTTCTTGCTAGCTCTGTCCGTGTTACTCGAGACGCTGAGCTCTCCGTCTTCCCTGTTTGGTAGGATCAATGTCAGAATGGCGTCGGCAAGAAGTCAGACGTCACAGGTAAGATGTGCTGATGTCACAGCAGATAGCTCTGCCTCAGACGGAGACCTGACTGTTCTGCTCTCCTGTCAGATGTGGGCTTTCTGCTGTCCCTGCTGCCTTTGCTGAAGGGCCGTGTGGTGGAGCTGTCCTCAGACACCAGGAGGCAGCTGGAGGAGCTGCAGCTGGAAGGAGATCTGCTGGAAGTGTCCTTGGACCAGACACAAACCATCTACAGAGTCCTGCAAGCTTCCTCTGACCCACCTGGAGAAACACTGAGCACACTCATCCAGGTGCGGCTAGTTCAGTCTGACCCTAGGATCTGTGCTGTTGGTGCCGTGGTGGGAACGAACGCAGCAGCAGTTTCTGATCTTCCTGTTGTCCTGCTTACAGACTCCTGCTTGATTTCTCACTTTGTCCTCCTGTCTCTCAGATCGACCTGGACGAGCAGAGACGGGTGAGACGTGGGCGTCCCAAGGAGTCCAAACGGAAGCGAAAGGGCCACAGAGGTGCAAGTGTTGAAGGAGCAGAACGGTCTCTGGACGTCTCACAGTCGAAGAAACCCTGTCCTTTCAAAAACCTGCCCTCTGCTCCCCTGCCTGTCCACATCAAACCAGAGGTAGGGATGTTCTAGCTGGACATGCTCTCACACGGAAGGAAGCTGCTCACAAGTCATTCTTCTGTTTACGTCCATGCAGGTTTTGTGATGGAGTCGACACTAGAGCTGTGGATTCGTCCAAGAAGTATACGAGGCAGAACGTTGTGCCAGAAGACGGTGTTGGTTAACTGGAAAGATGCAGGACATCCCCCGTCCCTCGTTCACACACTAACAGAGAAATGACTCTCCCGCTACACTCCAGTGTCTCATCGATGGCTCCTTCATTGTCCCTCTCACGCCCCCCAGCCCAGCCTGGTACCTGCTGGACCCGTGTGAGCTCGCTCGTGTCGGTCCGTTAGCTTTTTCTGCCTCCGTTAAAGGCTTGTTCAGGGAGCCAGGACCAGCAGTACCAGCAGCTCACCCGTTCCACGGTTGGAGAAGCTCCAGGTGTCGCTCACCGGTCCTCTCGCCGAGGTGCGGTGCAGGACCTGAGACCAACGGCACCGTGGTTACATTTGCTATTTGGTTCTCGTTGTTGTATTAACTTTACGTTGACCGCAGTTTTGAGAGGACATGCGTTTTCAATAAATGAAATTTTGGGAAGTGTTAAAACGCGTTCATGTTTTGGTGCTACTTTCCTAAAAAAGACGAGCCTCTTGTCTTTCTTTCTCCCGTTTCCTCCCAGAGCCTTTAGTCTTTAGGCTCCTCCCCTTCGCCTCCATGTTTTTTTCTGTTGGGTCTCCTCCCCACCACATATTCTATTTGATGATTAAGGCAACTTTACTGTAACTCACTTTTTTTCTGGGCTCAAATTATTATATTATTATTGTTGATATTGCTGACACAGTTGTCGTGAGTTTGTGTATAAACCTTTTATTTGACTGTTGCCTCTGTTTCTTTTCACTCTTGTTAGGAAAAATAAAGGTTTAGAGTTGTTTAGGACTCGTGGGCTGGTTATTTCTGAGGCCTCGGACAGGAAACGGACACGCTTTCACCATCACAGCGTTTATTTAGAAAAAGCTTGGATGTAAAACACGTCACAATTTTGGACAAACGATGACATTGTGATGTTTTTGTCTACGCTAGGGTTCTAACAAGGTCATAGACAACAACTAGAGTAAGTCTATATCAAACATGCATGAAACCAAATGAAAAAAAGCAGCTTTTATTCAACATTAAACGTGTGACTTTTGCCTATTTCACATTCAGAGGAGCAAAGAGTCGGAGAGGCAGGCTGGTGCAGGTGTCGCTGGTTCATACGGTGTAAACGTAGCCCTGCTGATGGAACAGAGTAACGGTGAAGCTGTGGCTCAGCCGTCAAACCCAAAGGTCATCAGTTCTACTCACTCAGCCCGACAACCTCTATGTGCCAACAGAGCGCCTCCTTCAGGAAGAATCCTGGGTCTTTACCCGTTCTGGGACGAATGTTTCATTTCTTTTTTTGCCTTTTAAGGTCTAAAACGTTTCAGATCTGCAAATCTTCAAACAGCTGAGCAAATACAAAATTCAGTTTTTAAATTATTTCATTTAAGGCAAAAAAAAAAACTATCCAGACCAACCTTTTCCTGTCTCTGACACCTTACGTTGGAAGGCTTACATCTCATCTTTGAGCTATGGCCTCTGACCTTAACCGCTGAGGGGTTTCTACATGTCTGTGGCTGGTGGAGCTGAAGCTAACGTTCTACATGATGTCAGTAAATTGTTTTTATATAGCGCTCATCCCAGAAACAAACAAATACAGGTGCTGGTCATAAAATTAGAATATAACAAAGTTGATTTATTCCAGTAATTCCTTTCAAAAAGTGAAACTTGTGTATTAGATTCATTCATTACACACACACTGGTTTATTTCTTTTACTTTGATGATTATAACTGACAACTGATGAAAATCCAGTATCAGAATATTGTGAAAAGGTTCAATATTGGAGACCCCTGGCGCCACACTTCAATCAGCTAATTACCTCAAAACACCTGCAAAAGCCTTTAAATGGTCTCTCAGTCTAGCTCTGTAGGTTACACACTCATGGGGAAGACTGCTGACCTGACAGTTGTCCAAAAGACGACCGCTGACACCACAAAGGTCATTGCTAAAGAGGCTGGCTGTTCACAGCTCTGTGTTCAAGCGCATTAACAGAGAGGACAAGGGAAGGACAAGATGTGGTAGAATAGTGTACAACAGGGGCGGCGTTAGGCCCGGCTACTTGGGCTGAAGCCCCGGATGTTTCATGAAAAGCCCCGGATCTCAAACGTAGAAGTAACATGCAGTACCAAAGTCCAACAGAGAGGGCGCAGCTGGCAGTAGTTTGTATACAGCCTGCCTGAGCCTCCACCACTGAAGAAGAAGCCCTTCAGCAGCCGGCTTCTTCTGCACTCTCTGCCTGAAACGCATGAGTGAAGATGGACATAAGGACGTTTTTAGACCAAAAGTACGGCGACAGAACCCCAGCTTTGATGAGACTGGTGCTGACTCAGGTTTGTGAGTCTTATTTGAAAATATTTGTTGTGCTGCTGGTTTGCCTAAAGTTAGCTTACTATCAGGTAAAGTTGTTGGAGAAAGAGCGGGAATATTTACTATCATCTCACACTAAACACTAACAGGAACAATACTCTGCCCTGAATATGCTTAATATGTAGCTACAGATTAAAAATTATGTGGTACACGACAAATATATGTGTTGACTAGAGCGTGTCACGTGTGTGCACGCGCGCTCGCTTGTGTGTTAAGCGCAGGATCTTCTTCAGTCCTTAATCCGCCCCTGTCCTGGATCACACATGTTGTACTTTAACTAAACTGAAAAGTAGTGACGGGTGTTTCGACCACGCCAGTCACGTACTTTGAGATTTATCGGCTTGTATAAGTTCATAATTAGCATGACTACAAAGAACATGGGCGGTCTGTGATGTCATGAGCGCATCTCCAAGCGTGTGGGCGGGCCAAAAGAACGCCGAGAAGTCCGTGACTGCTGTGTCTCCATTATTAAACCGAAGCGGCCTGAGCAGTCTTGCTTTTGGAGACTCTCGGACTCTGATTTTGGGTCCTCCTTTACTGTGTCTGGCAGCACTGCATGTGTGTGTGTGTGTGTGTGTGTGTGTGTGTGTGTGTGTGTGTGTGTGTGTGTGTGTGTGTGCGCTCCTCACAGCTGTGAGAGACAGAAAAACGGCTTCAGTCAGGGGTGCCATGGCATCTGCTGGTGCTGGTCCATTGAGTTCCTGAGGTCCAAATGAGGTCAACACAGCCATCTACCAGGAAGTTTTAGAGCACTTCCTGCTGCTGACCAACTTTATGGAGATGCAGATTTCATCTCCCAAAAGGACTTGGCTCCTGCACACAGCACCACAGCTACCAGTGCCTGGTTTAAGCAGTGGTGGTTTTACCATTAGGCATAAGTCGGCGGCCGCCCAGGGGGCCCCCATCCCTGACTGCTGGCACCCGTCTGTTAATGCCACAATGGACTATTTCTTTAAGATGCTGATGCACAAACAGGAAGTGATTGGTAGTCATTCCACTCCAATCCAGGTGGTGGCGGTAATGCACCAAATTGTTGTTTGCCAAGTGCCATAAGACCACAAATAAGAAGAGAAATCAGAAAAAGAAGAGAGACGGGAGCGTTTGTAACAAACTCGAAGCAATAGTCAAAACATGAAGCATGAAATGGAGTTATCCTAGTGGCTCCAATAAGAGGAAGAAGCAGCGTGCTTTAAAAAAGCTTTTATCTTCACTTCTGAAAGTGATGTCGTTTTTCTATGTAAACATCAAAAGGAAGCAGAAAAGAAAGACAATGGAAAATGTTTAAAGGGAGGAAAATATAGACCAAAATTGAAAATAGAAGAAAAAAAAAGAAAGGCAAAAGCACAGGAGCACTGACAGGAAGAAGAAAGCACTCAAAGGGAGAGAAAGACAGGAAAAAGAGGAGGACTCATAAAAAGTGAAACTAACTCGTGTCAGAAGAGGGGAGAGTTTCACAAATCCAGTTAAAGATAAGATTGTCGAAAATTTAGTGTAAGGGGGCCCATGTCTGTGTTCGCCCTGGGCCCCCAAATAGCTAAATCTGCCCCTGGGTTTAAGGACCATGGTATTCCAGACCTTAACTCCATAGAACATCTACGGGCTGTTGTGAAGATGCAATAGGCCGCACCCAACCATTCAGACGAGCTGGAGGCTTCTATCAGAGCAACGTGGGCTCTCGTAACACCCGAGCAGCGCCACAGCCTGATGGACTCCACGCCACACCGCAGTAATCCAGGCCAAAGGAGCCCCATCCAAATACTGAGTGGTGTACACGCTCCTACTGTTCAGTTGGCCAACATTTCTAAAATTCCTTATTGTGCATTTTAGTCTTGAGAGATATTCTAACATTTCTTATATTATCCAATACGATTTGGGATTTTCATAAGTGTCGGTTATAATCATCAAAATTAAAGAAGTCATCTAAATGCACCAGTCTGTGTGTGATGAACGAATCTAACATGCACGTTTCACTTTTTGTGTGGAGTTATTGAAATAAATCAACTTTGTCGTGATGTTCTAATTTCATGACCAGCATCGCCACGATGATCTGAAAAACAAAAACACAACAAAGGTGTGAAGGTGACCAGACCGTCCATACGGATAAAGGACGAAAGTGCAACAGTCTGGAAGGAGCGATCACTTCTAGAAGGTTCTGGTTTGTGGACCTGAGGGAACAGGAGTGATGTGGTCCGGTTGCTTTGGAAAGTCTTTTGCTCTCAAATGAAATCTTCATTTAAAATCTGCCTTTTGTATTGATTTGGTATTTCTGTGATTTGGACTTTTTTGACGACCTGAAACGTTTGTCTCAAAAATAAAGTAAAACACTGTTTTGCTGCTCTGTTCTTTCCCAAGAGGCACGTCGCTCCATGCTCGAGCATTTACTGCTTTTAAACTGTGCTTCGGTTGATTCTGCCTGGAAGAAAGGCACGGCTTAGTTCCTCGTTAAAACAGGCGTCTGCGCTCAGACGGCGACGCTGAACGCAAAGCGCCACCGTGAGCACACACACAGCAACATTAATAATAAAAACATGTAGCGGCACGGAAAACATTGTAAAGATGTGCTTCGTTAACTCAAAGGTTCACGTAAACATGTTTTATGGCACGTGAGGAATCTTTTTCTCTTGCTTTTTTTGCAGCGGCGTCGTTTCTTCCCCGTTCACCATCAGTTACAAAACCGTAAGGATGTCATGGCTGTGCTCTGGTTTTGGCCTACAGACCTGTGCCCTCATGGACGGGATGCGTTTGGATCTTCATTTGAGAACTCAGTATCACAAACGTGTTGCATTCTCAGTCCTGAGTGGTGTCCGGTGTGCTAGTTTATGGATCCGCTGATCTTTTCCTACCCGCGGCGTCTTTCCCTCTCCGTCTAGTTTCAGACGGTGGTTACAGACAGCAGCGGGTTGTAAACTTTCTTCCCATCGGCCGACCTGCTCCCATGTGTCAGCAGCTCTTGTATAGTGAACCAGTTGTCCAGGATCCTGCGGCTGCGCTTCTTCATGCTCCTGCGGTGGCAAAGCTCTAAGATGGAGGTGGCCTCCTGCTGCTGCGTGGCCCCCTGCTGCCCCCCTCCACTGCTGCCATGCTCCCTTTCCCGATCTTTCAGGCAGTCGAGCCGGCTTTGCATCATGAACTCGCGCCGCCGCCTCTGCTCTCGAGCTTTCAGCAGCTGCTGCTTGCGCTCCTCTTTGCTCCAGTAGCGGCCCATCTTCATCTCGCTCACCGCGTCGTCGTCTGTCGTCATCCCGCTGCGTTCCTCTCGGATCTTCATGGCACGTGCCTTTAGGAGGCGATCCCTCACAGGCCGCTTGGCCACATAGCGCGAGCCGTTGCTGCGGATCTTGACTTTCCACTCCATTCTGGGAGACGCAGGCAGCAGCGGAGGAGACAAGGGCGAGGGGACAGCACCTGGGGCCAGGGGAGCATCTTTACAGGTGCTGCCCAAGCTCATGGGACTGTCATCCCCTCCTAACTCCATGGCTCCCTCTCTGGGGGCATTCCCCCCAAGTCCCCCAAGGCGCTCGCATGCTGAGGGGGACCGCAGCTGCATGCAGCTCAGGTAACGCTGAGGGGGCTGCTCAGTCTGACGACGGGACAGATAAGGACTGTTTTCTGCACTGCGCCCACCAGCTCTCTCTGACGTCCCACTGGCTTTGGGATTCCGTCTCACGCCTCCATCCGAGCCCCTCCTGGTTCCCACATCCCGGGACAGAGACCTGACCTTTGCACCTGGACTGGATGTCTTGTTCTCAGCTCCTCTTCTGTGGGAACTTGGAGAGTACGTTTGGTTTAGGTTGGCTTGTATTCCGTCCCGTCGTTCAGACCTGGTTGCTCTCTCTGTCTGCCGGCTGCAGGTTGGAGGCATTGCCCCGGGAGGGGGAAGAGTCTCCGCTCCCTCCAGACTCTGTGTGGAGGGTGAGGGGTGCTGTTCGCTGACGAGAGGCGTGCTCCTGCAGCTTTCCCCTCCAGTGTTGTAGGCACTCGTGCTGTCCTTATCAGAGCGCTCCCTTTCTGGAAGCTCGCTGATGTCTGACAGAGCGTGATGACTGCCCTCCTCCCCCACCAACAGACCGTTCATTTCCACGCGTTCAGGTCCCACGGCGCCATTCTTGTCCTCATGAGGCCACACCTTCATACAACGCTCCCTTAGCTGCTGCATCTTCTGCGCTCTCAGGATGTTCCGACACTTGAACTCTAAGTGTCGTAGCTCCTCCTCCAGGAGGGCCATCTCATGCTGTGTCAAGCTCTCATTTCTGTTTTCATCCAGAGGGACCCCTGCGTCTTCTTGCGCCAGCTCCTGAGCGTTATAGTTCTTCTCATAGAAACACTTGATTTCCAGGAGCTCTTTGTACCTCTCGCACTCTTCCTCAGTTAGCCCAGGCATCATCATCCTGACAGGGTCGGCCATGTAGGTCCTCTCCAGTCGCTCCAACTGCTCCAGGCCTCCTCCACTAACCAAGTCCAGTCCCAGAAGGGAGTCTGTGCTGAACTGGAGGTCCTGGGAGTGCAGCAGGGGAGGAGAGTCCCCTCTGCTGGACAAAAACTTGCGCATGCTGCCCGGTGTGTTGGTAGCATTGGTGTTGGAGGCGCTGGTGTGGTCGTCCCCTAGAAGGTCATGCTCTGAGGACTCCTCGTAGCGTGTGCTTTCATCTGTGCGTCCAACCCCACTGTCCAGCTCCTGGCTGTTGCTCAGAACCGTCTGGAGCAAATCAGGAGAGTCCCTGTGGCTAGGGAGCAGACCTCCAAATACACCCCTGGTCGGTCCAGCTCCTGGAAGGGAGGGGCTGGTCCTCCCTCTGGGACTGCTGCTCAGGTGGACGGCCCGGTCTAGCGGCTCCAAGCCCAGCTCATCAGGATCCAACTGGTTGTCATTCTTGCAGGGGAAAGGTGCATCAGGCACAGGTGGATGAGTTTAGATGGTTGGATTGTAGAGAAGCAGAAGAACAACAGAGACAAAGGAGACATCATGTTACCACGCTATGCAGCTGGAGAACTGACATTTGATACTTCTTGAAGCTTTATCATTTATAAAGAGAGAAATGTAACCAGTAAAATGATCTGTTACCTGCTTTTCTACATAAACAGGCAGCATGAGAAAAGCTACCAGTCATCTTTTATTTCCTCGCGTCCAGGTTAAAGTTCTGGATGAGCGGGGCGAGGGTTAGATGAGACGAAACGAGGTTGTTTGGCTGCAGAGTGGTTGGAATAAAGATTTTGGTTTGGTTTAGAATAATTAGTCCAACTGCCGCCGGACAGTTGGTGCTCCATCCCCTTTAGGACGGTTTAAGGACGCAGTACATCCTACTACCACCAGAGGGAGCCAACACTGAGCCTTTTATCACGATGACTCTGAATTTGGTTTCAGTGAGTTTTCCAGTAAGTGTGTGTACAATAAGGCTATTGTTGTACACACACTTACTCAGAGATTTTTTAACCCTAGTTCAGAAGAATCAAACCTACTAGAATTAATATTTCACACTGATTAAAAGATCCAAAGTAAACACCTGAGCAGCCTTCCTTCTCTTCCTCTGTTTGCAGGGCTTGAATCGGTTCGATCAGAGTGTGAACGGCGTTTAGACAGCCAGACGAGAGATCGATCACCTTAAATTCATTCTTACTCTTTAGTTCTTCATCGTTCTCCTCTAAGACAACAGATCAAGCTTTAATCTCTGTGAGCTTTCATGGTTCTCCACGCTCCCGCCCTGGACTGAATCTTAATGTGCAACAACATAAATCCTGTCAGCCTTTTGCAGGTAGTGTTCATATCAAGGATTCATTTAAAAAAAATAAATCTGCAGAAGTTGTGTGTGTGACCTCCCGTTTTAATGCGGACCTTTTAAGGTCTAGTCCACACGTAGCCGGTTTTTTTTTTAAACTTATATCCGCCCCTCCAAAAACTTGCATCCACACCACCTCGTTTTTTTTTTAAACTCTGTCCACACGTACCCGGATAAATACGTTGTTAAGGACATGCCAGACCTGTAGGCGGCAGTACTTCCCCCGTTCTTAACCTCGTCCTTCATCTGTGGTCTTCCACAAGGAGCAGTAATTCCGCTTGCAACAACAAACAAGCAGAAAGCGCTTGGACAATTGATAAAGCGAGCGCAGCTCTGAGGGCATCCATGCTGTCGGCTAGTGGAAACACAGGTCGCACACGTGATGTCAGCATTTTTTGTCGCGGAAAGTGACGTTGCGGACCTTAAAACTCCAGTTTTGTCCGTCCACACGCAGACACCCAAAACGGAGAAAACGCAGATCTTCACTTTGGCCGGAGTTTTTAAAAAACTCCGTTTTCGTGTGGATGACGGGCCAAAACGTAGAAAAATATCTACGTTTTGGTAGATCCCCGGCTACGTGTGGACAGGGCCTAAATCTGCCCTGTAGCTCAGACAGAATACTCATTTTTACCACCGACCGCCCGTCTCCACCTGCAGCACACTTCTGTAGTGATATGCAAAGGAAAAATCTTATTTGAGGGGGTCGACATGAGTGAAGTAGTGTGGTTATAAGTAACCTGGGAACGTTACAGCGAACTGCTCCCATGTCAGTAATGACGGAGTGAGAAATGAAGCGGTGTGGTTAAAGAGCAAGTCACCCCCTACAAGAAACTTACTCCACTCCCACTTCATGTTTGAAAAACGCAACAAATGCTGTTGCTTGGCAGACCGAAAGGGTGGAGCCGCTAACAAATACACACACACACAGGCTCACAATGGCATTATGACATCATAATATACCAGATGACATCATAGCATACCTCTTAGCCAATAGCGGTGGCAGATTTAAATTCAAATACAGTGCAGAATTTTTCCCTGACGACGGTGCAACACTGACAGTTTTAGGCAGAATATTTGAATTTTAACCAAGATGCACTGAACAGCCAAATTACTGACTACACGTGTCTGCAGCACGATTAGACACTCCTTTATATAGTTTATCAGCAAAAAAAAAAAAGTGATTTTGGGGTGACTTGCTCTTTAAAGTCTGCTCTTGTGTGGCCCTGACACCATCCTGCAGGATTAGGCCCGGTCCACTTCTCCTTCATGCTCGTCTGAGGAGATAAGCTAGTCTCCAGCTGCATAAATAGTGAGATAAATGGAGAGCAGCGCCCTGCTTTTTAGGTCGGTGGTAAAAAATGAGCCTCTGTTGTTCTCCCTGAAGACCACATACCTAATTTCCTCACCTCGATCTCGGGCCTTGCGAGGAGCAGTGAGACGTTGGTGCTGTCCTCCCTGGTGAGAATAGCCACCGCCTCCTCTCTGTTCTGGATGTCCACTCCGTTTATCTGACGGGGACGGAACAGGTAATGTAGGACCTTTTACTCCAAGGACACATGATGCAGTTAGGTTGCACATTTGCTTTTCTGCCTGGCTGGAAGCTTTTCAGAGCAAAAATAAAATAAATTCTTCACTTTTAGAAAATTAGGCTCCCTTTGCAGCAGAAGTGACCCAACACGTTCTCCAAGTTCCAGTTTCACGGGTACCTGCAGTATCCTGTCTCCCTTACGGATGCGTCCGTCCACGGCAGCGATGCTGTTTGGGTTCACCTTTAAAAGAAAAGGACAACGTGTTTTAATCGCTTCAAATACAAAATAAAAAAGGTCCTTTTTTAACCGTGACACCATCTTTACCTCTCCTACATAGATGCCGAGGTCCTCCTCATCATCAGTTCTATAACACACCGTCAGACCCAGCTTGTCCTGCTGACGGGACTTGTACAGCTCTACTTCCTGTGGGAATCAGAGAAACGTCAGCCAGGATGAGCCAGGCGGCTGTCTGCAGGACAGGCTGAGAGGCTCTGACCTCATATTCCAGCTCATCGTGACGGTCTACGTCGTGCTGAGCGATGTCAAAGTAGTCGGTGGGGTCGTAGTACACCGGCTCTGGGAAGCTGCGAATCAGAACATTCAGCAACAGGATTCCTTTCATGTCAGAGTTATTTACCACATCGAGTTCTGCCGCTTTTGATCAAATCTCACAAATTCCATCAGACACACGTAAAACCCGCCTGGTGGTTACAACAGGCGAGGAGCACACACGCACTCGCCCGTTCTCACTCACAGTTCGTTGAACAGGTACGGCTCCAGTACTGGTGGCAGAGGAGGGGAGGGTGGGGGCGGAGCTCCACAGGGGTGCTGGCTGCTCCTGCCCAACGTCAACATATGCTGGAAGCTGATGTCCGTTTGGGTGCAGCTGTCCACACAGTCGGCCATGCCCATGGTCACTGGCACCTGCCCTCCTGGAGCCCCAGCTGGGCCCGCCCGTCTGCGGGCCCCCCTCCTCAGGATGCTGGACAGGACCGGGTCCCTCATGTCCAGGGTAGGGTCTCCCGAAAGACGAGACAACTCCTTTCCATTCACCTGAAACAGACAACGACAAAGAGAGTTTTATTCAGAGAAGTGGGGAGAAGAAAGGAGGTGAAGCAGGCAGAAGTGTGGAACCAGGTTGGAAGCATCTTGTTCAGGAAAATGCATCATTAGACTGTAAGTTCATTTCCATGTTTAAATGTGCTCGTGTGACACAACGCTGCTGAAAAAAGACACATTTTCCCAAATCGGAACGAAAAAGACGCATCTCAAAAGATCCTGGTTAAGCCGACTGAAACCTAACGTCACAGAGTTAGTAACTCGAGGAGGCTACAGTGACGTGTCGTTTCCATCATAGGTACACTTCGGACCGGTTCCTCCTGTGTAGTTCTCAGATGTTTCCTCACAGTTTTCAGGGTCCTTTGTGGTCCACGTGGTGAGATCCTGCATGGAGCCCCAGGTCGAGGGAGACCGTCAGTAATCTGGTATTTATTCCATTTTCTGATAATTGCTCCAGTCGTTGATCTTTTCTCATCAAGCTGCTAGCCTTTTGTAGATTGACTCATCCCAGTCTTGTGCACTGGTAAAATCGTGCCCCTGGTGTCTTTAAAGGTGTGGAACACTGAAAAAAACATCTTTTAATCATTATTTCTGATTCTGACGGGTCACTCTTGAGTTTTTCATGCAGGCTGAACATGAAAATAGTCTCCTACACCGATCTCCTGCATTAGCTTCTGGTTGAAAACAGACGGTGACACTCCAGGATTAGAAAAGCCTGACAGATCTGCGTCACACGGACTCAGCCATCCTGACCCATGACGGGGAAGGCTGTTGTTGGTTTAGCGTCCAGGAAACAGCAGAGAACGTCTTGGCTAGTGGAAGCTAACTGTTAGCATTAGCATCTCCAGCACACGGCTCCACCAGGCTTGTGTTATTTGTGGAGATAAAACATCAGCTTTGCAGAGCAGAGTCAGTGGCACAGTCGCATTTCTGTTAGCCAATCAAAGGAGAGATGTTCAAATATCAGGAAGTAAAACTCTAAATCCTGCCATCTGAAGCTCACATCTAGGTTGTTTCTCAATGCCAATAAGGAACCTCGCCTTGATGTCTTGGCCCCGCCCCGGTTGCCTAGGAGATACGTCATCAGGAGCCGCCAAGATGTGTTCCAATCGGTTCCAATGTTCATGTTCTACCGAGACGTGTGTTCTCCGTTTGTTAGCCGTTTAGCTAGCTGAGCAAGGATTCATGGGTGGTGTCTTGTAGCCTAGCCTTGGTCAAAAATTACCCACAATACGCCGCGACATTTTCAAAAGGATGGCGGATCAGAAGCCGGCAGCTACTTTGGGGACAAATTTCATTTTTAAAAGTAAGTCAGCTAATTTAAAATGTTTTTTTTAGATCTAAAGAAGTTATCGATGGTTGGTTAGTTGCTTAGTAGTTGCAGCTTCGGTGGCTAGCGGGTAGTAACTCGTTTATATTTTTAATTTAATTAACATATACACAATTTAAAAAGTAAAAGGCTCGGTATATATTTATATTGAAACTTAAATGTATAAAATATAACGTTATCTCCCGTTTCACGTGACGTTACGTGACCACCGTGGAAGCCGCGGTCACGTGATGCAAGTCTGTTCCATGGAGCTCGGGGAGTTGACGTCACTTCTCCCGGCATGCAACAGTTCAAATCGAACGGCGCCATCTTGGCAGGCAGAAGCCGGCAGCTGGACTATTTGTTATTGTCAGAAAACTCAATCAAACGGGAAATATGGTAGATTCCTGTTGAGCCCCAGGATCCGGAACGCCGCAAACGTTGGATCATTGTAATAAAACGCACTAGTGACCGGGCTAAAATGAAGCTGTGGGACCCTGAAAGTAAAGGTTTTGGCTTATGCAGTGACTGCTTCATATCAGGTACTTAAACCAACGTTTCCTCAACTGTGTATGGTATTTATTTTAAATGTTTTTATTATGATTCTTAGTGGGCTTCCTAAACTTATTTTGGCGGGGCTTTTTCTGTCTTATTACTCATAGCAACAAGTAAACATCACGTAAAACGTTGCCTCGTGAGTTCTGCGTGCTGCCGTTTACGTGTTTTATGATCACAGCAACTAACCCGCTAAGCTGTTTTTACTTTTTAAGCAATGGCTGATCAATTGTCAGATCACACATAAAAAGCACTTTGGATTGCTATTATCTGTCTCACCGGGACAGATCTCAGACAGATCCTGAGACGCTCCTGCCTGACATATTTATTTTATTCACGGAAAAAAAATCAGACTAGTGATTTCTCTTGGCGTTCAGTTTATACATTCAAACAGCACAGCACTCTATTTAAACTACTTACATGTAAATCTATGTTATTTGTGTTTTTGTTTAATCAGTTTTATAAATTATAAATGTCAGGGCATCTCATATCCGGTAAGAAGTCCGCTCCGACAGCTTCTGACGTTTTTAAAAAGTATCCCAGGGGCACAGTAAGGGTCGGAGATGTTTAGTCTATTTAATTTCTGACTATATAAAATGATTTCTTCGGTTTTAAAGTGTGAAGTAAAATCCAAGCCGACCCCTTTCCTTTTGTTTACCTTTGTTGCCTGCCAACATGGCGTCTACTCTCTGAGAGTCACGTGACGTCCGGAGCTCTATTTAACCGTTTTCTTTGACCAAGGAAGGACAGTGTCCTCGTAAGCGAGGCCAGGCGTCTTGACATTGAGAAACACCTCTAGATCCTGAAAGGCAAATCGGGGCTTTTTGTACCCAGAGTACGACTTGCAAGGCATTCATTCGTCCTAGAGACCACTGCAGATGTACTGATTAAACAAGTGAACCACACCTTTAATACAGGTAAAGCGTGGAGGATGGAAGAGCTTCTTAAAGAAGTAGGGGGTCTGTGAAGGCCAGGGTTCTTTTTTGTTTGCAGGTGTTAACATTTTCTGTACCAAAGAAATACTTTTAAATCATAGAGCGTGCTTTTGTGGGTTTTTACCCTCTGTCTCCCAGCCGAAGTAGAGCTAGGATGAAAATGACAGACACTCACCTTTTAAGTGGGACAACTTGCACAATCAGTGGCTCTTAAACACTTTTGTGCCCCAGTGTACACGTCTGAAGATCAACACACACCCTGTTCGTTTAGATGAACACACTCAAAACAGGCACATGTACTGTGTTAGTGTTCCTGCAGGAACCAAACAGAACCAGACGGAAACCAGAGACCTTCAATCGGCCGTCAGCATCAAGAGAGCTCAGCATGCTGCCTAAATGACCCTTCTGTGAGGAGAGACAGAGACATGTGGGACACGTCTACAATCACCATGGCGATCAGCTGGATGGTGAAAATGTAGTTTGGAGCTTCTTCCTAAGTTAATGCAGCTCTGCATGTCTGCAAAGCCACCGTGTTGCTCTGTGGGCATCACTCCGCCTCAGCGAGAGGACCGGGTTCTGTCCCACCAAATCTAAACTGGGAGAGCTGCTTCTAACCC